TCGAATCGTGCCTAGTATAGAAATATTCCTAGAAAAATAATTAAAGTAAACCTGCCACAACTATATTTATAATGTTACTTATTTAGGTTATGGTTGTTTAGGCACGTTCGACTATTAAACGGTCACCTGTACGACCGGATATCCGGCAAGTGCCTTGTTCAGTACCTTTTTTATTCTAGCGGTGGTACCGAAATAAAAATACGAGACAGGTACCGTATGATCGAAAAAAAAACGGCGTCCAGTTGGCTTGGAAATGACGATCGATAACATTCCTCATATAATTTTACACATAAAATGACAGCGATCTTCATTTCATAGCCATCGCTGACGCCGTTTTTATTCAATCATACGGTACTATACCAATGGTCCCAGCGAAGTTTTTACCGACTGTATTATGATTTACCGTTGCAGAGATATTTATGTTTATTTTGTGTGTTATTTTTAGCATAAATTTCAATATATGCATTAAACAGAAACGATATTCCGTTATATAGACCTGCATATTATACATTTTTCCAAAAAAAAAAGAGAATAAATTTTTTTGGAAATTTTTGAACATACAGGGTGTTGTTAATAGATCAATCTTACTGTAGTTAACTTATCAACCTCTAGAATAGTCTATTATGTCCTTTTTAAGTCGCATCTTCGTTATGCCCTTCCATTCTGGGGTACTTGCTGCGCGACAAAATTTGATCGTATTTTCAAACTTCAAAAGAGAGCAGTTCGATATTTATTGGGACTGAACAGTAAAACTCACTACCAGAATTTCTTTAAAAATTTCAAAATACTGACTCTTCCTTCTTTATTCATTTTTGAATCCGTTTGCTTAATCCGCAAGCATAATATCTGCTATTCCCGAAAGGCTATCTCACAACTATCCACTTAGGAATGCGGAGCACGATCTTTATCTGCCAACCCCGAGCTCAGAACTAATAGTTAAAATACTGTACAATCCAAAAAAATGTACAATCATCTGCCTTTGAATATCAAGTCACTTTCATTCTTTTCCGCATTTCGCAAAGCTCTGAAATCATACTTACTGGAGAGAGCCCTACATATATGCGGTAAACGACTTTTTTGTTGATGTTTAATCATGAACAATTTTGAATTTTAAAATTTTGATCATCTCACACACTGGTTAAAGGTCTAGTATTAATATAATATTTAATTTTTTAGAACTCTTAATATGCATTTACAATTTTCCTATTGTAAAATTTTATTGATACGCCTTTTTTTTTGTTCTGCATGTAGGTATGTTTTATTTGTAATTTTAATGACGTAGATTTTTTTGAATTGATTTGTATTGTATGATATTTTTTATTATTTGAATATTTTTTGTGCTTTTATTTGTTTTGTAAATGCTTTGTCGATGAAGCCATTTGGGCTTTTTGTACAATAAAGGGTTGTTTGTTTGGTTTCATCTTACGTATTTTTTTAAATCTTTCCTTGGACTTTGCAGACTATTTTTTTTTCAAAAACAAAAGTTCTGTACGATGAAACGTATAAAGTGCATAATTTATGTAATTTACAAAAGGAAATGAAAACAAAACCTTTTACAAGTTAGTATTTTGTATAATAGTGTGCATAATTAGTGATATTGGTAGCGAATATTTCCATTCGAATTTTGCAGGAAATTTCAGAAATTTCCGAAATATTCGGTCCCAAAATCGCGAATATTCGCAAAAATCCGAATTTTGCAAGAAATTTCTTTTCAAAATTCAAGACATTGAGCAAAAATTTAACGAAAGTGTATCAAGTATGCCGATTCTTAAGTCAGAAGAAAAAAATGCTTCCCCGCCTTACAAAATTAAAAACCTATGGCTCTTGAACTAATGCATTTTGCCGCGAATCTCTTGGACCCCTGTTTCCTGGGAGAGCACCTTAACAATGAAGAACACAGCCGCTATGGAATTTATCAACAATATCACCAACAATCATCCTCAGTTTGTCAATAATAAGCCATTTTTACAGATGTAACAGATTATGGCGCCAAATCGGGTTTATGGGCTCTCGACTACGTTTGGATGTCAGTTAAAAATGTAGACTGTCTAAGTTGGTGGCAAGCAATGTGTAAAAATACTCAGTTGAAATATTTAGCTGTTGCTCTGCTGTCTTTACCAACGTCATCTGCAGCCACAGAGAGAAATTTCAGTACTTACAGTTTTATCCATACTAAAAAAAGGAATCGCTTAACTGCACAAAGAGCCGGTAAAATAATGTTCGTAGCTCATAACAATGAAGTGTACTACAAAACCAAAGTGGATATGAACTTGATCAAACTAAACATAATTGCTCAGAACAGTGGAGGTAGGATATTCAGGTCAGGAGACAGATGGTATCAAATATAATTCAAGTTATTGTTTATGACTTTTATGGGTTATGTATTCTTTATTAAAAATATAACAACTAATACCGTATGATCGAAAAAAAATGGCGTCCAGTTGGCTGGGAAATGACGATCGATGACATTTCCCATATAAATTTACATATAAAATGACAGCGATCTTCATTTCATAGCCATCGCTGACGCCGTTTTTATTCGATCATACGGTATTATGTTTATTGTTTTTTTTGTCCACTTACATGTTGGTATCAAATGTCTATCTAATTTATTCCTTTCGACAAAAAATATGTAAAATTGTAAAATTTTCTAATATTTCATAAATTTCCGAAAGTTTCAGAAATTTCCTGCAACAATCAAACATTTCTGAAATATTAACATCACTATGCATAATATGTCTAGATCGTATAGATAATTTATGATCTAAGATACATTTGATGTTACAAAATAGAGGTTAACTTTAAAACAAAACCAACTAAGTAAAGTTTGGTGTTAAATTAAAGCAGCAGGTGGTAATTGGGTTAAAACAGTAACATTTTTACTGCAAATTTGAGGTTGTCGAACTCTCTTGGCTTCGCCAATGGCCAGTCGTGGTTTCACGTTATCAGCATTCGGTTCTTTTTGAAGTGTGCAGCGAAAATTATTGCAGAAGAATCGGTTACCGATATGCATCAGAGTGATAAATAACAAAGAAAGGCTTTTCTCAGGGGATAGGTGGCCAGTTAGGGCGCCTGTAAAGGAAGACTCTCATCAATATTGCCAGAATAGAAATTTTCGAGCGAATTTCTTCAACGGAGCCTTAAAAAACCCTCATATTCCTTCAACTTCAAAAAAAAAATCGAGATCTTTTGAAAAATCACCAAATTTCGTGTATTTTTCCTATTTTATAATTAGGAGAAAATTTTTAAAAACTTATTTCTGGTAATTTTTGGACACCAATGTATTTAAATAAACTGTTTATTAAAAAATACCACGATCAAAAATGCTGTAGATAGTTCGACAGTAGTATTGTAAAGTATGTTTCAAAAAATGAATTGCTCACAATGACTGCTTGAACCGAGAATAAATAATCGTGCAACACTCCATGATCAGCTGACTTATTATACCGGGTGCGTCTCAAAAGTGGCTCACCCCTATAACTTTTTTATTTTTTTAGTTGAAAAACGAGATTTGGTATGTGTTTATATGACATAAATTAGGATTGATTGACGTATTCATTTGTTTTCGGTCACTTCCGGTTTCACCGGAAATGACTACAACTTTTTATTTTTAAATAGCACCCCCGGTATTTTTTTACTTTATTCGATAGAGAATGTCACTCTGAATAGAATGACATATCATATGTCAACTTTTGACATGTTCACACTTCTGTATATTCCTGTAATCGTATACTTCTTTATCAGTCTGAGCCGGGCCTGCAGAAGCGTATCGAAACCACAAGGAACTTTCGTAATTATTGAAATTTCGCACGCATGCAATCCCCATTCAGCCTATCATTAGAAAACTATTATTTACATTGTTTTCTATCAACTTCAATATATACAACTACCTAAGTACCGTATGATGGAAAAAAAACGGCGTCAAAGACGGCTTGACAGTGACAATCGATGATAATTTTGGTAAGGAAAAACTTGATGATGACCGCTGCCTTTTTAGTCTATCTATAATTATTATTATAGATAGATTAAAAAATAATTTTCTATATAGAAGAAATCACGATAATTTGTATATTAGATGTATAAAAAGATATAAAATGCTATATTGCTTTATTAGAAGTAAAAATGACACTTTTTCTAGCGAGACTGTACGTTTGACATACAGCCGAGGTACAGAAAGTAATTTTTACTCCGAATAGAACATGCTATATTTTTTTCAAACGCCACAAATAATCTTTTAAACAATTTCAAACGTTCCTTGTATATCCTTGTTTCCTTGTATGTAATTATATATCGAGAAACTATGGTTACGCTCGTTGAATTTGACACTTTATGTCAGTTTAATAAAATATTTTCGTGCTTTTATAAAATAAAAAGTACGTAAAAGTGCTTTTCTTTTATGCCTAGGCGTTAAAATGACTTTTTTATATTGTCAATCACGTCGCAAAAATTAATACTTTTGTGACGTTTGAAAAAAAAGAATATTGTTTAATATTTTTATTGAATAATTTTCAGGCAATATTATATTTTGTCAGAATTTCTATTTTTTATGTCTTTCAAATTAAATTATCCGATTTTTTACGGTTTCTCTTCGAAAATTAGCGTCGTGGAAACCCATCCTATGGCCAATTAGTACCGAAAGCCGCACCATTCGTTTCGAGTGTCGCACGTAAGAAGAGAACCACGAGACAACGAAATAAGCGAAAGTGATGGTGATATTTTAGCTCGAGGATACGCGTATGCTGGTACCATGGTACTTTCATTACGAGGACTTTAACCCGCGAAAGACAGAAAAAAAATCAGCTGATGGGCATGTACGGATTACATGTTTCTTTGACTGTATTAGATATTCAAAGGATTTGGTCTCAAGAAGTTGGATTCTTTTCTCAATCATCTCAATTGTATATTGTCAAACAAATATCGTAACACCCGGTATATGTTCTCGCTAAGAGTTATAAAAATAATCTTATTAAAATATCTGTATTATATCCTCTTTGTTTCAGAATCCTGATGCTTGGGTATCAGTACACAACCTCCAGTCCCAAGGAGGAGGTATTCTGGACCCAGACGACAGACTCAGCGATGTAGCTGACGATAGGGAACAAATTCTAGCAAGCTTTGAAGATGGTGAAGGTTCCCACGTCCACCACGGCGGAGGAGATGGCGCTAGCGGCAGCTCGGTGGGCACAGGCAGTCCTGACATCTTCAACGTAAGTCTATATATCTAAATATAGCTAATAATTTACCCCCTTCGTTCTATACAAATATATTGCAAACATGCCTCTTTTAAAGGACGGCGAACACAAATACGGACCTTCATACCCTCGCACAGACATCGAAGTGACAGGAGAACAGATAGCGTCGGGAGTACCCTCGCTCCAAGTGCGCAGAGGCAGCGAACCTACCCTCAACCAACTACCTGTAGGTCCTCCCGCTCCATCAGACCACACCAAGCGATGGAGTGCTGCTCCCCTTATTTTGGAGCCTCCCAGTTCAGGCTATGCTAGTCCAGACTGGATGGAGGACTGTGGGGATGATAATGAGGGAGGTACGGGGTTCAGGAGAGTGGCCAGGGACGGGAGCAATAGGTTGTCGATGCAGTTTCTGGGAGACGGACCTGGGTAAGACACGAAAAACTTAATTTTGTGGAGCTATTGGGAGGCATTAATAATAAGGCATGATAAACGCCTTCTGGGACGGATGTTGGTCATTGTCTATGCTTATTAGAACATAATTATAATTAACTCTATATGGGCATTAATTTTTATTTTTTTATTATAATTTATATTTTTCATTTTATTGATTTTATGGAAAGCACTGTTCATTAAAATGTTGTATCCTATGTTATAGGGCTTGTTTCTCTCTACAATTTTCTGTCTCACAATGTACCGTTTGTGTCCAGGAAGAGTTCATAGTTTCATAGTTGTCGATTTTCGAAAGAAATCAGCACATGCATATTATTTCGTATATTTTTCATTTTATTGATTTTATAATGGTACATTATTCATGCCCACTTGAAGGGGTATTAATAGAAAAAACTTAATTTCGTCTAGTTGTTGGGGCATTAATAATAAGGCATGATAAATGCCTTCCCGGATTGATGTCACTTGAAGGGACATTAATAATATCTCATTATTAGCTAGTAGCTACCCTCTGAATTCTAATAATTATTGTATTCGATCAAAAAAAAATATTCTCTTGATGTTGGGGCATAATAAGATATTTTTAACGCCAATTCTTGATCATATAAAATTACCATGTGTCAGTCATTCATCATGATCTATGGTTAATAGAACATTATTAAAGCCCACATACAAGGGCATTAATAATGTGTATCTATTCATGCCTCTTTGAAGCATAATCATTTTATTTGGTCATAAAATAAATTAGTCTTGTTCTTGTGGGATTAATAATGAAGCAAATATTAGTGCCGATTTATGATCATGATAGAATTATCATATTTCAAACATTAATTATGGCCTATGGTTAATAGAGTTTGATTTGCCCTGTTACGGTATTAACAAGACACATTATTAATGCCAACCCATAAGGGCATAATAATGTCTCAATATTAATGACTCTCTACGGCAAAATAACTTTATTGAATTAAAGAAATTGTATAGACTCATTGAGGCACGAATGAACATTATTAATACCTATTTGTGCCTATTCTATGTCCATCTGAAGCATAATTAGACATAGACTTTCTTTAGACATTGGTTTTGACTGTTTAGGATACTGTTTAGAATAGCAGGACATTATTAATGCCCATTTGAAGCGGCATTAATAATTTTCCATTATTAATGTGAAAATATACAGATAAAATACACAATACTGAACAGTCGCAGTCGTTAGAAAATTACTGATGACATTTAACGAGGCATTAATCATGTTACCTTATTAATGCCTCTTTCATGTATTAATAAGTAAATATTAACAATTATTTTGTCTTATTAGTTACAGATGGGCAGAAGCTGCAGAAAGAGCAGCTAATACCAGATCTCACGCCAGCACTTCACTACCTAGAGAAACCAGAAGAAAGGAACCACTGGGTCAAGCTAACAACAGTCCAATGCCTTGGAGTGCCGATAAAACAGAGCTCATTGTGATTAGAAATCAACCTGGACATTTAGGTAAGATAACTGCTAATGTTTTTTATTAATTTAAGTATTTAATATATTTCATTAAATTGTTAGGTATACACGTAGTACCTGACTATGATGGTTCGGGGAAAGACCGCGGATTGCTTGTTCAAGGTATTGAACCAGGAGGTAGAATAGATAGAGATGGTAGACTAGCTATTTATGATAGAATAGTAGAAATCAACGGACAAAATTTAATAAACATTCCATTTCAAAGGTACAAAAAGTCTACTGCAGAGATTATTCTGAAAAAAACTAACAAAAAATAACTTTTCAGGGTACAAGAAATTTTTAAATTGTCTCTTATCTCTCCAGAACTAAGACTAAAAGTTATTAAGGCTTCCGGTTTAGAAAGCTTAAGAAAACCTCTTTATTCCCGCTTTTCCGATGACAAAGAAAACGCTGGAATGGTGGAGTGTGAACAAAAACGTAAGATATAAGTATTTTAAACAAAATTTGGTTTATTTTGAACCTTTTTTTGGATTTGCAGAGAGTACAAACACTAAAGTAGCTACAGTATCGCCAACCAAAAAAGTGCCAGCTGTTTCAAAGAATTTGAAAGGTTTACTGACAGCTAATACAAGGAAAATTGGTAAAAAGATCGATATAGAGTTGATAAAGGGTCCCAGAGGGCTTGGGTTCAGTATTACAACCAGGGATAACCCTGCAGGTGGTAATTGTCCTATTTACATCAAAAATATCATTCCTGAGGTAAGAATTTTTCGAAAAAAAAACACTGTATAGCGAAAATACCACATGGTCGAAAAAAAACGGCGTCACAGATGGCTGGGAGTAACAATTTTGGCGAGGCCAACCTCTAGCCGTAACAAGGCCAGCTGTCAGTAAGCGGCATTAAAAAATAAAGAAGAGTACGGGCTATACCTCGAAAAAATTATCCTCGATTGTCATTCGAGATTGTCAAGCCTTCTTTGACGCCGTTTTTTTTTCAATCATACGGTATTTTCAATCAAATGCACATTTTTGCCCATGTGACATCACAGCCGGTTGATATCAGCGGTTCTCAAAATGTTCTTTAAAGATGCGCACATAGTGCACACATAATTTTTTTTAATTGTGATCAATCTTTATACAATTTTCTCTAAATCTACGTTATAATAGGGGGCAGCTGTCGAAGATGGCCGCTTAAAAATAGGGGACAGGCTGCTACAAGTGAACGAGGAAGAAATGACGGGAAAAACACAAGCCGAGGCGGTGGCCATCTTGCGAAAAGTCCCTCCAGGTAGTAAAGTAAAAATCGTAGTGTCTAGGCAAGAAGATGTTGCAGCCAATGGCAATTCATTGCCTCGTGTCATTGTAAGTACAGAATTTTCAATTTTTTGGAACTTTAAATTTGAGGTTAATGTGTGCTAGTTGTAGTGTTATTGTAGCGTTCATATTTGCTTGAAAATTTTCATAGAAAATATAATAAATCATTTTGATGATAACATTTTGTATATTAATGAGTATTGTTATTGTTTAATTTTAGTTTTAGTTAAACACATTAGGACACCTTATAGCACTAAAAACTGCGTTTTTTTCAGGTTGTGATTCGTTATCAAAAAATATGTTAAAATTTAAAAAAAATATATATTTTTTTTTAATATTATATTAAATGTCCTGTAGCTGACTTTCTTGAAATTTGTCAGTATTATTAATTTATAGTAATAATGGACTAATTTAAGATTAATTAAATTAAAATTATTAATTTCAGTGGCGTGGAGAACACCTTATCGAAAATAATGGGAAAAATATGTACCTCGCTGACTTTTCTTGCATTTTTTATATTTTTTTAGATTAAATTACTAAAAGTTCAACTTTTTTTGCTTATACCATAAGCCTATCTAGAATTGTTTTCGAGAGAAAAAATAAAACAAAATCATTGCAGATCCCTGGACTCCATTAAAAAAACTTTAACAAATTAAATGTCAATTTGCAACCAGAGTAAAGTATTAATTAAATTAATTGCTGTTCAGTGCGATCTACAGTAAAAAACATAAAGTTTTAACATCCTGGATCTTTAAAGCTATCCATTTTTTCATGGGTCAGTGTTTAAAAGAACTTTTTTCATAACTTTTGACGAAGAATCACTCCCTAAAATTGAGTCCATGCATTTTTTGAACACCCTGTATAATATTTATTGCTTTTCGCTATCTTATCTAACGGCCAATTAATTCATTAGTTCACTATTCCTAACATATTTTATATAATTACTGACTAGTGAAAAGCTGTTTAATTATTTTTCATGTTTTTTTTGTTGTCTGAGAACTATCGCACGCTGTACAGGTGTCCCATTTTACTGTGTTTTACCTCGTTTATAAGTAAAAATACAAAGATGCGGTTTTCACATTACTCTGCTATTTTTTTTATCAAACTAAAGATACTACACACAAATTTGTCCAAGTCCTCTTAGGTCCTAAATCCCTAGAACGAAAAAATAAAAAATCCCTTAGGACGAATTTGAAGTTATCGTATTTCAAGAATGACAACTCCCAGTGAAAAACTAGTTACTCCACTGAATTCTACGTGAAAAACTCTATGGGCCACAGTTTTTACCTTTTCGATAAGTTATGAGATAACCAAGATACAAAGACGGTAGAAAAATGCAACATTTTTTAAATTCGCCTTGTATTTCAGGAACTAAGAAGGTTGGGACAAATCTGTGTAGCATCTTTAATGATAATAGCTCCCGTATATAGATAGCGTTTAACGCCTCGGGAGTAGCAAGGTACAGCTTGCCATACTAGAACTGTTCGGTGTACAAGGAAGGTAATGTGGCTAGCACTACGCTTCAACCGCCTATTATTACCTCAGGATTGTGAATCCCAAGTGCTCATTTAAGGCTGAGTCGACCTAGGTACCCAAACTATTTTTATTTTAATAAAAATAGTCGGCTGGTGAAATGCCGGGTGTAGGATTCGAACCCACAACCTTGAGATTGGTAGACGAGAGGCTATACCTCTACGCCACCGGGCATCTTTACTTTCATAAAAATGTGAAAACCGCATCTTTGTATCTCTACTCACACACCTAAATAGGACACCCTGTACAACTAACTATTTTTAAAGCATCTTACTAAGTTCCACAATTATCTCACTACAATTCCAGTCCTTACACAATGTCTTAACACATTTATACACTCTGCATAAAAGCCAATTAACAAGAAATAATAAAAAATCAAATACAAAACGCAACCTAAACAAAAATAAATTAATTAATAAAAAGAAAAATCACTAATCATTAGTTACCGATATTCGTTTTGTTTGCTATCTCTCTCTGGCTCTAGGGTATAGAAGAGACGGAAGAAAAAGACGAACCGATGACGTTTAATGGTACCGGACCATGGACACGCCCCAAACATTCCTCCGTTACCACAGAGCCATCTGCAGGCGTTGCACCAAAACAGGACACCAGAACGACTGGTTGCTTCTTCTGTAGCCAAAATCGTGTCACAGTTTCAAGAAGCAGCGAACAACAGCCATGTAATTGTCATTTTATTTACCTTATTTCTCCACTAGAGGGCGTTGATTTTGAATAATTTTTTCGACTGTTTAAATTATTTAGAATCGTGACTCAGAGTAGATAGAAATACTGTACTCACTTTTATTCACCGATTTTGTCACAGTTTTGTTGCAATTTCACTGTCATGTTTTGCTCTGTTATTTGTCAATTTGTTTCATTGAATAAAAAAATATGGAAGGAGTATAGTAATAAAATAGAAAAGACCTAGAAGGGATTCAACTATGGCACAATATCTTTCCAGATCTATATTCGGTCATTACTATATGAATATAAAAAGAATGTTTGACTCTCTCCATACTTAGTTTTTTTTATTCAATGATTCATGTGATTATTCCAGTAGATTGAATTATTATGGTTGTTTTTAGCCTCCAGAAAAATTAGATGGTTCTATGGTATTCCCATGGAAGCATAGAGAAATTCTTACCCTCAACATTCCAGTGCACGATTCTGAGAAGGCGGGGCTTGGAATTAGCGTAAAAGGCAAAACAAGTGAATCGGGTATGTTTTTTGTTTTTTTTATAAATCTGTATTTTAAACCAAAATGTGTTCTGTTAGGGATGGGTGTTCATATTTAAAAAGTATCGATATTTTGGAGAATATCAATACGATTATCTCTAACTATACAGAAGCGACACGGGCGATTTCAAGTTGACGGAAAAAATCATAAAAAATATAGTCTTTATTTAAAGTATTCTGGTCTATAGTGTTAACATTAGGAATAATTACGTTAGAATCTATATACTGTGATGTTATTCACTCCCTAGGTGATCTTGGCATATTCATCAAAAGCGTTATCAACGGTGGAGCGGCTTCCAGAGACAAAAGGCTGAAGACCAACGATCAACTGTTGAACGTGAACGGCATTTCCTTATTGCAACAGTCAAACAGCGACGCCATGGAGACGCTGAGGAAAGCTATGCTTCACACTGAAGGCCCCGTGCCTGGCAACATAACCTTGACTATAGCCAGGAGAGCGTCCTCTCCTGGTGCTAGTAGGAACAGGTCCAACGAGAGCTTGCTCAATAATTCGCAGGTAAATTTTTCAAAAAATTATTTCTAGAATTCGAATTCGTCAAATACAGGATGGTCCAAACTGTATTCTGGAATACTATTCTGCAGATAAAAATAAATAAAATACTTCGTATATATGTATGGCCTAAATTGCTTAGTTTCGGATATACAGAGTGTATAAATTTCTCTTTATTTCGATTTTTTTCAAATAATTTCTGAAGTAACGTCAATATTTGGATAAAAATTGGTGTCCGGAAGTTTTTTGACATGAGAAATTTGATTTTAGTGTCAATATAACTCCTATTTGTAAAGGGCGCCACGTACATGTGTTTTGACTGTATTGAAGAGTAATAACTTTTCGTCCGTACCTGTATAAAACTACTGAGTGAAAAAGTATACATTTCCGTGATTTTTTTCCTAAAAAATGTCTCTTGGTAGAAATCGCTACGAGCAACCGTTCTCAAGATATTTAGAATTGAAATAGTCAATACATTTCATTATTGACAAAAAATAAACCTGTTGAGTAGATAATTATTTGGCTGAAACATATACATATCAAATATGTACGGATTATCGCCTATCCCTGCAATGTGTTGGAGTTGAAGCCGAGTTAGAGACAACTAGATAATCGGTCCATGTATATTTCACATAAGTTCGTCTGTTAGGCCGATATTGGCGCAAGAGCGCATCTCCAAAATTCCGAATATCGATTAGCCCTTACTCTGAGCATTAGCCAGTTGTCGAGCGGGAACGCAAACGAAAGCCGTACGAATCAACAGCTGGTGCTAGCTCTAGTCTCTTATTGGTCTGGTTATCCGATCGATAATTCAAAATCCAGGCTTGCGCACTACGTTTGAGCACAGCTAACTGAACGACTTATGCAAATTCCTTCAGAAGATTTATATATCCATTTCACCGGCTTGGCTTCACAGAATGCAGTTTGGAATCGATATAAGTTAATATATATATGGTCTGAAATGACAAATTTCGAAATTTTTTATTTTTTTAAATTAATGATAAATTTTTCTTCGAAAAAATGATGATAAAACAGTTTTTGTTGAACTTTTGGCACAAAAACATTTCAATTTTATGATTTCAGTTTAATAACTATTTAGTCAACATGTTTAATTTATGTCAACGATGACAGGTATTGATAATTTTGATTCCAAATATCTCGATAACTATTACGCGTAGCGGTTTTTAACAAGAGACCTTTTTACATAAAAAAAACTCGTAACTGTATATTTTTTTACTCAGTAGTTTTATACAATTATGGACGAAAAGTTATTACTCTTCAAACCAGTTAAAAATATGTAGGTGGCGCCCTCTACAAGTAGGAGACATATTGACATGAAAATCAAATTTCTCATGTCAAAAAACTCCCAGACACCAATTTTCATCCAAATATTGACGTTACTTCATAAATTATTGAAAAAAAAATCGCGCGAAATAAAAATGAAACTTCTACACCCTGTATCTCCGAAACTGAGCATTTTAGGACATACATTTATACGAACTTTTTTTACTTATTTTTATCTGCAGAATATACTGCCAAAGTTTCCGGAATACAGTTTGGACCACCCTGTATATTAATAAAAAGAGAGTTGACAGTTAACAGCTTTCCCATTGAAATGAAATTAATTCTAGATATGAGTTAACAAAATTTGTACAAAGGTAAAAAGTTACCGATACCCCTACTTATTAGTTTTAAATGTTTTTATTAATATATTAATATTATTTAAGTTAATAAAATTTTTTGATATTGAATAATATTATAGACAAATTCTTGTTATATTTTATCTGTCTTTTATTTGCGTGTTCAATTGTAGGAACACATAGAAATGGTAATTTTGTAAAAATCTGGCAACCCTGTTCTGCCACTCATTACTAAGTTTTTTAAATTCTCCCAGTACTGTTTCAGTCAATGACACGTCTTGGCCAACAAACCGTGTTAACAAACCGAATTGTAAAAATAAGTTAGTTTATCAAAATGACCTATTTTTAAGCAGTATTTATTCGTTTATTTCAGGAGTTGTGCAATTCTCAGGAAAACTCGGCAGAGCCTTCCAGTGAGAAATCCAACTCAAACACTTCAAACGGATCTACCAACACTGTCATCTACAATCCGCATCAAAATGGCATGATTAACACCCAACTCAGTCCGATGCATACGTGGAATCCCGTCTTGGAAAGACTTACAGGTCAGTACTACATACTTTAACAATTTTAAATGACTGTGTATATATTGGCTTGGCACTCCTAAGATTATACTAGGTATACCGTGCTGGCAACTGTTACTTTTGGGTCGGTACTTCATCATCATCATCATCATCACGCTAACGTCTCCAGCTCTCGCGGTTTTTAGCTGTTACAATCCAGTTAGTTGTTATTCGTTTCAGGTCGTCGGTCCATCGGGTGGGAGGTCTGCCTTGGCTACGCTTGTCGGCTCTTGGTCTCCACTCTATAAGTATTTTGGTCCATCTCCCGTCTGTCATTCTAGCAATGTGTCCAGCCCATCTCCACTTTTATTTTGTGATTCGCTGGATAATGTCATCCACTCCCGTACGTCGGCGTATCTCTTCATTTCTTACTCGATCTCTCAAAGTCAGGCCAATCATAGATCTCTCCATCCGCCTCTGTGTCACTCTCAATTTTTCTGCGGTTGCTTTTGTTAGAGTGAGTGTCTCTGCGCCATAGGTCAAAACCGGGAGGATGCATTGGTTAAATGCCTTTCTTTTCAAGTGTATTGGGATATTTGCTCTAAAGATGTTCCTCATTTTTCCGTAAGCCGCCCATCCCAAGGTAATTCGTCTAGCCAGTTCACAGGTTTGGTTATCTCTGCTTATTTTGATCTCATGGCCCAAGTATACATATTTGTGGACTAATTCTATTCTGTTGTTGTGAATCTGTATGTGTTCGTTGAGCACCATATTAGTCATTATCTTAGTCTTGTCAAAATTTATTGTTAGTCCAATCTCGTGTAATGCATCGTTAAGTTCTTGAAGCATGTCTTTGATCTCTACCAGACTATCTGACACTATAACGATATCATCCGCAAAGCGTAGGTGGTTGAGTCTCTCTCCATCGATAACTATTCCTTTTTGTTGCCAAGCCAGCATTTTGAATGCATGCTCAAGAACAGTAATAAACAATTTTGGTGACATGGTATCGCCCTGCCTAACTCCCCTTTTTATTTTTATCTAGTTAGTTGTGGAATGTAGATTTACAGTTGTTGTAGCATTGTTATATATGTTTTTTATTATGTTACAATATCGATGGTCGATTCTACATTCTTGTAGCGCTGTTAGGATGGCCGGTAATTCTACCATATCGAACGCTTTTTTAAAATCGACAAATATCAGTGCTAGGGGACGATTGTATCCGATGGTTTTTTCTATTAAGGTTTTTAAACACTGCAGATGATCGTTGGTACCAAATTCGGAACGGAAACCAGCTTGCTCTTTAGGTTGGTAGAAGTCCAATTTTGCCTCTAGTCTATTTGTTATAATTCGTGTATATAGTTTATAAAGATGGTTAAGAAGGCTAATTGGTCTGTAATTTTCCAGGTCTGCTATGTCTCCTTTTTTATGTAAGAGGATAATTATTGAGTTATTCCACTTTGTAGGGATATTTTGAAAGGTACTTGAAAAAAAGGGATATTTTGGTCGGTACTTGCATGTGTGAAAGTAAATCGAATAGGGATCTTATTAAGTCGGAGTGAGAGATATGCGACGGTGTGCTGTTGCCGGTACGCATTTCCCTATCAAGTAAAGTCACGATCGCAAACCGCTCATTTTTAAACGACTTTTTTTTCGAAAAGATAACTAGATAAAGTCATATGTTTCTGAGCATCTGAAATGGAATTATAAAAATATCGTTAAGGTGTTCATTTTTTTGTAACGATGAAACGTCAGTAATCGCGACAATTTAAAAACTCAACTTTTTAACACAACACGCCATAACTTAGGAACCACTTTAGATATTGAAACTTTTTATTTTGACAATCGGATCTTTTACAATATGTTTAAATAAGAAAAATTCGATAAGGTTGTTTTTTTTCCATTCAAAAATTTTAAACCCATCCATTTACTTTTAGTGCATAGCAATTTTTAGCAATCGTGTAACTTTTTTATGGATAAAGATTTTCACATACTGTCTACAAAGAAAATACAGCAGAAATGTTAAGAAAGCTTTTGAAAAAACTACAATCAATTATTTTTAATAGGTTTTGAGATATTGATCATTTTGAATTCAGAGTTCTAATAGCGCGACCACTGTCGAACACCAACTCAATTCTAATTATTTTTACCAAAAATACAACTGTTTCTAATGTGCACTTAAAATTTTTCAAGCTATAGGGAAAATTACAACGACTCGTTAATAAATAAACAAATTAAGTATCACGAGACGTAATCAAATCGTGAAGCTGAACGCATGATGTAGAACCTTTCCCTAGAACTTTAAGTACTGACAGAAGTACCGTATGATCGAATAAAAACGGCGTCAGCGATGGCTATGAAATGAAGATCGCTGTCATTTTATGTGTAAAATTATATTGGAAATGTCATCGATCGTCATTTACAAGCCAACTGGACGCCATTTTGTTCGATCATACGGTACTAGGTACTGATTGGGTCGACCGGTGGACTGCGACAAATCTGCTATATCCCCTTCCACGTCTCTTAGCAATATGCGCAGTGTCTCCGTTTAGTTCGTATGTTTGGCAACGTGTTTATTGTTCTCTCTTTGTTCGGTGCATTATAAACGCATTGTACTCTTCTTACATACGGAAATCTCGACCCAAGGCTAACCTTTGCCAGCCCTTAGTCCTTAGTATGTATTATTAATCTAAAGGTTTTACAGGTAAGCCTCAGCTAAGAAACGAGAGTTACTACAAAGCCACGCACGACACGTGGTCAGGAAGCATGCTAGCCAACAACAGCACTTTCGGAAACGTCAGCACAGCCGAACCGGTCCTAATAGAAGACGAGTATGGTTCCAGAATGGTTCCTTTACAAAACCAACACCAGTACGTCAATGTTTAGTCTTAAAACTCTATTAGTTTTTTTTAAACCCATATTTTTCAACATAGAATCAATGTACATGTGACCAACAAAATGTCACACATCAGTGGCGTACCTGAGAACAGGAAAGATCATGAACCAGATGGAAAGGCTAACTTGACGGGTAGTATTGGGGATAAAAGTACCGACACTTCATCGCAGACGACAATCCAGACCACAGATGCCACATACGCTAGTCAGCTGAGCTTAGAAAATCCACAGGGTTTTTCAAGGTAAATTAGTATGGTTAAAATTTATATGGATTCACCCTTGTATAGTCGGAAAAATATGTTTGACAGTGACAGCCGATGTCTGTTATTTTAATTATTAAATCGATTGTTGCTTTGGATTTCTGGAAGACCAACATTAATTATATGTGGCAGCATTTTTCAGCAACTTATTTATTATCTCTTGTTTTTTCATATTTTTTGTACAACTTAATACTTAAAGCACAGAATATCTAGCTACGCAACAGAAAAATACTCGAAATGAAAGAGCTAAAATTGCACAAATAAAATACTAGATGGCGCGACAATATCATAATCAGAATATAATTGGAAATTTTCAACTTTCGGTTTTGGATCGATGTAGATCGACGGCACGTCGACGGCCTTGAAGCTCGGTTAAATATGCACAGTTGCCAGATTCAAAAAGACTTTAATTGGCATCCCATTCTTTTTCTATAATAATTTCTATCTATTCTTCGTTTCTTGTCAGATACACTTATATTAATTATTCGTTTGGCTTTTAAAATAGTTTTAATTTTGAGTATATTATTAGAAAACATATGCTCTCAAAATATATTTTTAATATACACTACTTTATTGTGTTAACTAAGAAAATAACTTTAATTACCTTTAAAATAGTGATATTTATTAATGCTGAAACGTTAGTAATGAAATATACGTTTAATAATAATGGAAATGATTTATTAAAATGCAGTACAAAAAATATTAATTGACTAAAAAAATACTATAATAACAAATTTTTTCTGTTTGCCACGTTATTTATATAGACCTAGGTAGATTTTAAAAAGTGACACAGGTACAATTAATAATATATTAGTTAGGCATAAAAATTGCTGTCACGACATTGTACAATAAATTAAAATTCGTAAAATAAATTAAAATTATTAATTAAACGAATCTTTATAAAGAAACGCAAGTATATTAAATTTGGGCCCAATCGAACGCCAGGAAATGGTATCGTAATATGGTACCCCTTGATATGCTTCATGGTACCATAATATTGCAATGTCATCAAAAATACGCAAGTATAATCAAATAGGAGCCCAATCGAACGTCAGGAAGTGGTATCGTAATATGGTACTACATTATGGTACCCTTTGATATGCTTCATGGTACCATAATATTGCAATGTCATCAAAAATACGCAAGTATAATCAAATAGGAACCCAATCGAACGTCAGGAAGTGGTATCGTAATATGGTACTACATTATGGTACCCCTTGATATGCTTCATGGTACCATAATATTGCAATGTCATCAAAAATACGCAAGTATAATCAAATATGAGCCCAATCGAACGTCAGGAAGTGGTATCGTAATATGGTACTACATTAAGGTACCACTTTATATGCATCATAGTACCATCATATTACAATGTCACCGGAGATACTTACTATACCAAGTATAAGTCCAATCGCACGCCAGAAAGTGGTATCATAATATGGTACTATAGAAGGTACCTCTTTATATACTCCATGGTACCATTATATTACAATGTCACTGAAGATACGTAATATACCAAGTTTAAGCCCAATCGAACGCCATGTATCGTAATATGGTACTATATTCATATTAATCATGGTACCATAATATTGCAATGTCATGAAAAATACGCAAGTATATATTAAATACCGTATGATACCGAAAAAAACGGCGTCCAGTTGGCTGGGAAATAACGATCCATGGCATTTCCCATATAAATTTACACATAAAATGACAGCGATTTTCATTTCATAGCCATCGCTAACGCCGTGTTTTCCCGATCATACGGTATGAACACAATCGAACGTCAGGAAGTGGTGTCATAATAGTTGAATTACAATCAAAATTCAGGATTCAGTTAGAATCGAACGTCAGGAAGTGATTTTAATTCTGCTCGTAAGATTTAACTCCAACTAACATGGCAAGTTAAATACTTAAACGTTTGAAAAAAAGAGCTCTAATCTATTTTAATATGTTTAAATGATGTAGCCAATTTGAAGGTAGGCTTTATCAGGAAGTATTACAATATAAATTACACAATGGCAACACTGCATAAAATTCATTTAAATTTCGTTTGTAGAAAACTGTTTTCTTTTAAATTTATCGCTTTAAAAGCCTGTCTCCTTTTGAGACCTACGATTTTTTACATGTAACGAGGCTTCTGTTGCGTAGCTAGATATTCTGTGCTTAAAGTAACAAAATTGTACTTTAAATTTATTCATTTTCCGGCTATTTAACACAAATAATAACCTTTAATTTGACAACAGTTTGACAAGTTTCAAAAATCTTAAGTCGAATTCATACGCATCTGTGTCCGTGCGTCATTTAATGTTCCGTCACTCCAATCATATTGAAATATGATCTGTCATTTTTTTTAGATTTATACAGGGTGTCCCACTTAAGATGGATACAAGCCAATATCTTGGTTGTTTGTTGAGCGATCTTTTTCATTTTTGGCAGGAGGCTGTATGGCTATAAGACGTACATTTTGCACAGGGTAAGAAATGCGATACCTCATAGACGTACGTTTTAATGGGGTTTGGTGTTTTTCGAGTCAAGAGTAAACTACCCTTAGGACAGTATTTATTTCAAATCTGATAAATTATATTGAATCCTCCTTACCTAAGATACTTAAGTTTTAATTTTGATAAATATTGATACGGGGTGGGTCATTAAAATAAGACATTTTTATTTTTATTATTGTTTTTTTAAGTACTTACGACGCCACTGGATAAACAACAGGTTTATTATCAATAACCAATTATCAATTAATAATCGATTTAAGTTTTCAGATAGCTTCCATAATAATCAAGATACAATACAAAAAAACTAAATATTTTCAATTTATTTTGTTTACTTTAAAAAATTGTTTTTTAAGTTTGCTAATACAAATGAATAAAATGAGTTACAAAATAATTTAATAACCCAGTTTTCAATGGAATCTGAAATATGATTTTTATTCGTTTTATTGAGGAATATTTTAAAAAACCCAAATAGTTAGATATATTTAAAACAATCACTATTAACTTTAAAAAAATATGCTCTAAACAAAGATTTATAAAACTATAACGAACTAAAAGTCAACATCTTCGACCAAACCGCCATAAAAAAGATTATTAATTGATAATTGATTATTGATAATAAACCAGTTGTTTATCCAGTGGCGTCGTAAGTAGTTAAAAAAAATAATAAAAATAAAAATGTTTTATTTTAATGACACACCCTGTATCAATATTTATCAAAATTAGAACTTAAGTATCTTAAGTAAGGAGGATTCGATATAATTTATCAGATTTGATATAAATACTGTCCTAAGGGTAGTTTACTCTTGACTCGAAAAATATCAAACCCCATTAAAACGTACGTCTATGAGGTATTGCATTTCTTACCCTGGGCAAAATGTACGTCTTATAGCCGTACAGCCTCCTGCCAAAAATGAAAAAGATCGCTCAACAAACAATCAAGATATTGGCTTGTATCCATCTTAAGTGGAACACCCTATATATATATACAATTCCATCCACAGTTAACTTAAAAACCTTAAAAACTATTAGGTACTTTATTGAGTGAAATAAATGGATTGGTATCCACGTCATCTGCCTTTTTTCTTGTGTAATATAAATGTATCGGTTTTTTAAAAATATTTTTGTCTTTTTCAGAGACGCTTTCGGTAGACAAAGCATGTCGGAAAAACGCCACGCCACCCTAGATGCGAAAAGCACGGACACCTACCAAAGGACAAAGAAAATGCGCGAAGAAAGGACCAAAAAAGACAGTAAGTAACTCAATACCCCACATTTTTTCATTCATTCTATGTTTTACGTTGATAAATTTTGTGACTAACCAATAATAAACCATCATTCTAGTGTTTTAGTGAAGGCTAGTGTGCTAATGCTCCTTTCATTTTGTGTTTAATAGCTAGTATAGTCAGAGTCGGTTCGGTGGAGTCGGTCATAAGTGTTAATAGGTCTGCAGAACATCCCGAATGTAAGAATTTTACCATTTTTTTTTTGTTTTAATCATTTAATAAAAAGATTAAGGAAGTGCCAAACCCAATTTTTATATTCTTGGATTATAGACGGAAGGGACAGCATGGTATAGTCTGTGAAACGAATAACTTTGAATTTGACAGTTCCCGCGGGCTTTTCTAGTGTAAATTTTATTAGGTTAGCAACTTGCGGCCATGCTGATGCAATGCCGTCTCTAATAGAACAGCCTCTGAGCGAGATGTATGACGTCACCCTAGTTAGATACTACGGATTAATTATGTTGTAGAATACATGGAAAACATAATTATTATTCCTCGTATATGTAATTTTTTGGATTATATTCGACACTATTTTTTTCATATGACACTGATGAAGGCTTATTGATGATAACACTGATGAAGGCTATAAACGTTTATTTTTTTATATATTTTATATATTTTAGGCTATAACGTTTTTTTTAAACCAAAAAAAATAATGAAAAACCAAATGAAAATTTAATCAGTGTTTTTCCCGAACCTAAATCCCAAGAAAATCAAAAATTTTAGAATAATTTTACATATAAAATGACAGCGATCTTTATTTCATAGCCATCGCTGACGCCTTTTTTCTATGATATTGTATTATTTGCAAATATAATTTTTCGAACATTAATGCTTGCAAAATATACATATAAATTTTGTGAATGCAAATAATAATACATCACAATTAGTAGATATTGAATGTTTTTTATTAAATTAGATCGATTTTCAAACCCCAAAATCTAAAATATATTTTTTACATTTTACCCATTATCTTATCTACCTATTCATTATTTGTAGGTATATTGTAAAATATTTGCTGCATTTGTATGGTTCATAGTTTATTTGCCAAAGTATTTATTACTATAAATAGGTATATATATTGTATTTATTAACTGTATATTATGTATATTTCATGTAAACTATATCAGTTTTAAAGTACAAACCAAAAATAAGAGGAATAATTATGTTTTCCATGTATTCTACAACATATTTATTAATCCGTGGTATCTAACCAGCGTGACGTCATAAATCTCGCTCCGAGGCTGTTCTATTAGAGACGGCATTGGTCTGATATTTAGAAATGTGAAAGGCTGATGACATTTTACTTTTGTCAATTATGACATTTCGCATAAGTTTCGCATTGATTTTTGCAAGAAGAGGAAGAACTGTCTCTTGTTTTGTTATTTTCCTTTTCTATTTCGCGAAAGTAAAAAGAGTTACCTATCTGATTCGTTCCGGCACTCATTTTAAAGACTATCAGTAACTTTTTGGATAGAGGGATTTTATATTTGCCATGTTGGTAAAAAATAACGGTCAAAATTCAAAGTTATTCATTTTATAGACTATATAGCCATTTTTACATACCTTGACCTGACTTTTCTTTTGCCAAAATATTTATTTTATAATTGTTTTTTTTGCATAGTATATAAATGTGAAAATACATTGTGTCAGTACTTGAAATACTACAGTGATACAAGCGTGAATCTTCTGAAAGAGCCAAGTTTGATGATTAACTCATTCCTTAATCTTTTTATTCATTTTGATTTACTTTCATTGAAATTAGTCAATAATAAACAAAACACCATTCTTTGTGTTGTTTAATATTCTATTGCACCGCCATCTTGTTGTGTAACACGTCGATCATCTCACCCTTTCTAGATGCTGATAAAGTGGGTGAATTAGGTCCATCTCTAGGCATGAAGAAGTCTTCCAGTTTGGAGTCGCTACAAACCATGGTTCAAGAGGTAACAGCACTCTGATTTACCTTATTTTTTTATTCTAAACGTCTTGTGTGTATTTTGCAGCTCCAGATGCAGGAGGAAGGTGATCCTGCTTACAGTTACAGAGGTCCATCGGGAGGTCTGAAGGTTATCAGAGGTAGAGGCTGTGAGGAGAGTTTTAGGGCTGCTGTAGTTGATCCTAATCATCGAAGCGAGATAGGTAGGTATAAAGAAATGAATCAAAGTTGCCGTATATATTAGCATAAAAATAACATAAACTAGGCAAGAGATTTCTTGCTACGGAGCTTACAGAATCCCACTTCTGATATTTGTAATTTTCGGTTTTATTATTTTTTCTAATCTGATGTTTGTACACTCCCCAGGTATTTAACCACTCATCGCCACTGATTTATACTTGGTTTCATAAATATACAGGGCGATTTTTGGAAAAAATTTCGAAATTTTTTTTTTCAATTTTACCACAAAATATTTCATTTTGTAGGGGCCAAAAAACACTGGTTGTTGGACGGTCCAGTGGAGGAGAGAGAAATAGACGGCTTTACCAATGCCAGGGGCGCGCCGAGACAATCGTCATTAAACGCCGCTTTGGACAGCAAAAATAAATCGGGAAAAAAGAAGCCAGGCCTGTTTAAAGGCATTGGCTCCATGTTTAGGTAAGGTAATTAACTTAGGATAAGATCCTTTGGAGATTTATTTATATATAATTTTTTTTTACTTAAAAATACAAAGATAAAAAACTATTTTTTGTTTATTTAGGTTCGGAAAACATCGTAAAAACGAGCTGGTTGAACCTGTTCAACAGTACATTCAGACCAACGAGTTTGACGTGGCTAATTCTTCACAGAATCAGTCGATAAACGAAGACAATCAGTCACAGGCTTCGCATAATACCAGCGAAAATGCTCAACAAAAACCAGGTAAGAAAAATATAAAACTCAATTTATTTCAGAAGAATAAAAATACAGATATATTCACTAATTTGTTAAAAATAACAGCTCCCAGAGAAAAACTAGTTACGCCACTGGATTCTGCGCGAAAAACTCTACCAGACTCAGTTTTCACCTTTTAAATAAGTTATAAGATAATCGAGATACGAAGGGGGTCGAAAAATGCAACATTTTCAAATCCTCCGCTATATAGGGTCCGGCAAAAGTGCGTCGGGCATCTGTAGCTCGTAGAATAAAAAACCTTGAAATTTTATATAAGTGCAAACCTAAAGTATATATTAGGATGTATTTCAGAAATTTCAAAATTTTAAAAAATCGTAACTCCAAAATTACAGTAGCTAGCGAAACGCGGTTTTCAATTTAAGATTAGGAATAATATTTGCAACAAAATTTGTAAGAACATCAAAATCAGTCAAAGTCGCAGTTTTTGAGATAAAAAAATTGAAAAAATTCCTTTACTTTAAACTAAAAGAACTGCCTACCAACTTTTTATTAACATATTTTAGTATGGGCGGCTATACGTGCCCCCGGCGCCAATTTTTTAATTCTCCATCTAACAAAGAATTAATATACAGAATTAAATACCATCATAAAACATACGAAAATGAGACATTTTTATAACTCTATTTATTATATTTATTAATATAATATGAAAAAAAAACAATAAAAATAGAAAACATATTGATCCACTTTTCACTCTCGATGTCCTAAGTCAAAATATATGTTTCTAGCTGACAATAGACAACAAGAACCACCACCACCACAGCAACACCAAGAGCAGAACAGCCAGTGCCAACAAGCGCCCAGAGAACCGATATACCAAAGACATCACGGCTTCGTTCACAGGCACGCCGAGCAGGTGCAGGTGATTCCCGAGAACGCCGTGGCGCCCCCTGTGAAGTACCGGCAGAATTCCGACCCCAGGCGGAACGAGAGAGAACTACAAAGACAGAGGCTGGCCCAGAGACACACTTACTACCAGGCCGATGACAGGGGCGAGCCTGTATACGACCAAAGACATAACATGCAGGTAAGGAAGGCCAGTGTTTTTACCTGATTTAGATTCTATAAACTTCGTAAACTCATCGCGACCTTATATATCTATTGTGTCCTTCTTTCTTGAGTTATAACTCATCATACAGGCTTTGACAAAAGCCAGTATCTGAGACGGTTGTATCAATATCAGTCGTACCAAAGTTTGTGGCACGAATTTTTGTACTTTCGGCGTTTTTTCTCTATTTTCTTTCCATGCCATTTATCTACTTATTTCTTTCTAGAATAAGGTTAACGTATATACGTATATAATATTTATAAATTTTAACTTTTATTGTCTCTCTTTGAAATCGGTATTATACAAATATAATAGACGAAAAAAAACTTGCAGAGATCAGATCAGCAACATCAACACAGGGAACCACAGTATGGAGAATTTGGTAGGCCTGGTAGTAGGTCTGGAATCACTGAGTCAGTACCTTTTACTCACTACGTCAACTACAACGAACTCCAAACTCACATCAGGTAAAAAATCTTCCAAAACTTTACTTAAATCTATCAATACAAAAAAAATTACACTTGCTTTTGTGTTGTTATCGTCCAGTTCAGTTGTGCACAATTCATTTGTTACTAACTCTGACTTGTAGCATGACAACCTGAGAATAAAGTCTCTTATGATATTAATTCTGTCTGATTTGTCCTCTTTATAGACTAAATAATGAATAAAAAATGTCTGTTTGTTTAATGTTGTTTTATGTCTTAAGAGACTTAAAAATGAAATATCACAGACATTTTTCTTTGGTAGTTCATTTGACCTGACTTAAACTCAGTCTAAAAATACACTTGTGTCTAAAATACTTAATATTTTACAAAATTTGGCGATTTAAATTGATTAAAAATAATGTTTTGGGAATATAATAAAAAATTGAATTTTTTATGTCGCCAAGTTTTAATGTTTCAATACGTTTTAAAAAGAAATAGGCTCAGAAAAATGATTGTATAATTATTTTATCGTATATTTTGACATCTAAAAACCCTGTGTCGTGTTTTTTACCATTATGTGACGTCAATTTGGCAATTATGTTGGTTACAAGATGTTTCTAGTAAATACGTGTCTCGCGACTGTATGATTTAAGTGACGTCACTTATGTTGGTTACAAAATTCCTCCGATAAAGACGTGTCTAGGCATTACACAGTCTAAGGTTACTAATTTAAAAAAAAATATAAGAAAAAACGTTTTACCATGAATTTCATTATCTGAGCCTATTTTTTTCTGGTCTACCCGTGCTGCAACAGTCGGTAATCTCGGCGTTTTTTGTTTTGTTCCCTGTCACACGCTGGTCGCGCAGCCGCAAAGAGTCTCTGTCTGACAGTCAGATAGTGCAAATGCGCCTGCAGGTCCAACAGCAAAGGTTAAAGGTGGAGGAAGAGAGGTACGCACCATAAAAATCAAGTTTGCCCACCACAAATTCTTATTAGTCGTTCGCAGATATTCACGTAGCGTACTTTTGATTGGTTGTTGGTTCATTTGTAATCTTTGGTTGGTTTTGGTTTGCACATTTTAACAGCATTTTTTTTAATTATTAATATATGTAAATTTTTAGGACGCTTAGTGTGATATCACTCAGTACGCAGCCAAAAATAAGCTATTGTATTAATAGATAAAAACCTGTGAATATCTAAATAAAGTGTATTTTGCTACTAACTATTTAATAACTGCTATGTTAGTCCTATTTTCTTCTCAACCCAATGCCAATACGGACTAGACGTATTATTGTTTGCCTGTACTGTGAAATCATCACTAATCGGGCCTTTTGATTTGTAGGTGTTGGATTGCATCATATTCTTCGCAGATATTGCAAAGTTAATATTATGTGCTTTGTATTGCAGATTTTGTAGATTTATTTTAATAGTATGCATTTTTTTGTAATTTAAGTATATAAATAAAAAGTAGTAACGAAAAAATGTAATTATTACAAAATGATGCTTATTTTTCTATTTTGTTATCTATATAGTAACGCTCTAGGCTCAATTAGATTCAAACTATTTGAAAGTATATCTATAATTTGTAGGAACAAATAGTTTAAAATACACTTAGTCAACTCAACATTGAATTTTTCAGCCGGAAACAACACCAGTACCATTCCCAACGCCAAACGCGTACCGATAACCAACTAAGGCCTATTTCCAACTACTACGAGTACGAGAGCGTTCAATCGGTCCTAAACAACCGGCAAATTCGCCCCAATAACAACAGCAATAACAATCCCCCCTCCCATCAGCATCAGAACTCGCTACCGCAACCTCCCCACGTTTATGACGTCAATATGAACCCGTCTGCGAGTCAAACTAGGCAACCTAGGCAACAGTTACCCCAGCAACACCCAGGGAGGAGTAACATAACTAGGCAAGGGTCTCAGCCTCATAGGGGACCGTTTGTGACGCACGTAACGATAGGGGAACATCAAAAGAACGGGACCAAAGTGTGAGATATTATGCATTATGTACAGTGCTTTTGGTTTAACTGAGAACATAGGATTTGTAACAGAATAATGCTGGTCTATATTCATTTCTAATGTGCGAATATAGTCTAATTTGAATCCTATGTTCTCTTCTGAGAACATAGGTTTTGTAAAACATAGATGTTATGAACATAAATCCTATGTTCATTTTTTGTGAGACAATAATCAAGTCTATGGGCATAACCAAATGTGAATCGTGTGTTTATTAAATTTATGTGAACATAGGATTCGCGCATAATGATATGATTTGTAATTCAATAATGCATTCTCTTCTAATGCTTGAATATATCCAAAACTAAATCCTATGTTAGCTTCTGAGAACATAGGTTTTATAAAAACTATATATTGTGTTTTTGAAACAATTGTCTCCAAATATTCATTCATTCATGTAATGTAAATCCTATGTTCATTAAAGCTGTGTGAACATTGGATTCACAGCATAATCCTACCACTAATGTGAACATAGGATTGTAAGACAATATGTTCCTATGTTCGTTCTAGGGGATATAGGATATTGCTGTGTATGTTTCAGCGAAGATAGGATATATTATTTTTCTTCTATGCTTATTTTTAGAATAAACGAGTCTTCGCACCTTGAAATATAACATAAATGAAATATTATGTTCATAGTTAAATTAAAAGTACTGTAACGATTTTTTGTATGTCGGGTTATACTAGCTGTGCTTTATCGACCCTATGATCGAATTAATTTGTGATTAAGTGGACTTTTGTATATTTTATTCCAGATCTTTTATATTTTCTCTGTTTATAAAAGGAAACAGAACAAATTAAGAAAGATAGAACATTGTATTTTATTATTTTTTTTAGATTTTAAATCTAACAGTGATTGACTTAAAATTTAGTCATAAACTTAAATGAAAATAATCTCCCAAGATGTAATTATAAATTAATTCGTTTTTAGGGTTTTTTTAATCGACGAATCAACATAATTTTAGGTTTAATTTTTATTTTAGCGTGTATTACAAGTCTGTGATTGTTTTAACGGTCTTATATGTTTTTATATACTTCGAAATTCGATTTTAATCAATATATTATATATATTTTTAGTTTTAAAATTTTACATTTTATCTAGTATAACCTTTTTTTTATCAATTCGTAACGATGTGCTCACTGTGTACTTATTCCAAGACTATAATTAATTTTTAAGAAAAATTTCCATGTGTAAATAAATAAAATAAAGTATATTTAATGTATATGCGTCATTAGACGGGATATGGTTTTACGCCATCCATATATTAAGCGATTTTATTTCTGTAAATATAGACTATTTTATATTGTACATAGCTAGATAGAACTTTATATTTGTAAAATCAAAATACATTTTTATTATACCAAGAGTCACATTATTATTTCTTGCCTAAAAAATGCGTAACTTTAATACAGGTTCAATTTAACCTAGCATTGTGCTAAGGGAGAGTAGTTCAAATGAACCGCCCCAAAAATACTTCAGAACAAGAACCGCACGATGAAAAAAACGGCGTCAAAGACGACTGGGAGATGACTGGATGATAATTTTAGCGAGGCCAATCTCTAGAGGTCATTTACTAAAAATTATAACACTAATTATATAAAATTAAAAAAGGTTAGGACGTTTCCAGACACACAAATCGGTTTCCAAAAAAAAAAAATTCTAGAATTAGTAGTAGTAGTAGTTTATTTTTATTTAGTCAAATAAAAATAAACTACAACTGCTTTAAGGCCAACGCCATGGCAGTAAGCGCCATTAAAAAGTAAAGAAGAGTCAGGGTCAAGTACTGACGTGTAGGGCTTGACCTCGGCAAAATTATCATCAATTTTCATACCCGAGCAGTCTTTGACGCCGTTTTATTTTTGATCGTATGATATATCAAGTAATGAAAACATAATTTTAACCAAGTACAGGTCAAAAACGATATGAATTTAACGTATGTACTAAAAATACTCAACATTTTCTTATTATCTAATGACAGAGATTTTCCAGTAATTTAATCGTTTTCAAATCATTTATTTGAAGAACCTGTACAATAAAAAAAACATATTTTACCCTTGTACAGGTTAAAAACTTCTGTGGCGGTAAAAATAATTACCTTTCTAGTTTTATAATGAAAGAAAATAAACTACCGGTATATGAAAAATAAATAGATTTAAAAAAAATATTCCTTTATTTACAAAACAATTAAAACTGTAGTATTTAGCCTAACTTAATTATTCTTTACTTAAATTACTTAACTGGCGAATCTGTATAAAGCTTGTTTCATATAGACGCGAAGCGATTCGCCAAAAAATATTCGCAAAATTTGGACCTATTTCATACAGTCGCGAATTTTTAGGGACATTTCATTTTTGCTCCACTGAAAGTTACCAAAAAAAGTCATGACCTGAGATAACTTAATTTGTTTTATACAAATACGTTTAAATAAAAACGTATTTGGTTTTATACATATTTATTCGTGTTTACGAGCTTTATTTTATATTTTATAGCATACAATATGAGTTTAAATTTGTTTAATGATTATGAATATCGATTACGATTGTGGGATTGGAACAGAATAAGGCGCAAAATTTACTTATTAAAACGTAGAAGAGAACGGGTTTATAGCACAGGTTTATAGGTCATTTATGGGTCATTACATGTGAAATATTCAAATTTCGTAAGCAACAAGGTGCTTATCGCAATTTAATTCAAGATAAGGACAAAAGATGAGAAAAAATTAGGAATTTTCACAGATTGTCTGTATAGGAGTTTGATAACTTGGTTGAAGTTGAAAAATTGTCACCATATATATCAAAAACATATTATGCGCGAGAACCCTTTTGAACTGTAGAAATGCTTTCAGTTACTTTGCGGCAGCATCGAACTATATGTCGAACTTCTTAATTTTTTGTACATCAAATAAACGTTTCATCCTTTTAAAGTAACAGTAACATTTAGGTATATTTTCTGTAATATGCATAACAAAACAGTTACAACAAACATACAAACACTTTATTTTGTAAAATATATTAAAAATTACAATTAACCAGAGAATTAACCCACCATGGTTCTTTTTCTGCCTCTTGCTCGTATACCTTCATACTTGGCTAGTATCTCTTTGAAACCTTTTTTATAATAATTGCTGTAGTTCTCAATAATTTTTGGAAATATTTGATCTGCTACAGCATGAGTACTAACTAAAGCTCTTTCTAAAACATACAAATCAACTCTCTTATCTTCTGCACTACAATCTACATGCGACAATCCAAAATCTATTTTTAAGTCTTCTAAATCATCAAATTTATCCTTATTATGCACGTTCATAAGTAAAATATTTGATGATGTTAAATCCCCATGTATTATATTGCCTTCGTGCATTCGTCCCAGGATAGTTCCAATAGAAATTGCCAGCTTAGAAAGCTTCTCGAAGGAAGTAGTCTCAATGAAATCTTTCAAAGTAATACTGTGTAACAAATGTTCCATAAAAACCATTCTGCGTTCAAAATCTACTAAATATATTGCAGGTGTGCGTATCCCAACGCTTTTACATCGAACAATAGCTTTAGTTTCGGCTTTTATTCGTTCTTTAGTTAAGGAATCATCCAAGTGTTTGTGCCTATACTTTTTAATAAATCATTCTTTAATTATTGTAGGTCTTCCTAGATATGTACCTTGGTATAAGCGCGCTTCAGAGCCTTGTTTTGTAAGGGTAAAACCATCCATTTGTTTAATTATCGTCAAAATAATCGATAACCGGATCACAACACCATTCTGCGCAAACGCGAACCTTAAAATCGCGCGAATATTAGCAAAAAGTTGAAAACACTTTAACTTTCCCGCCCCCCAAACTTTAAATCTTGCGAATCGCCAAAATCTTAAAATTTCTGACAGCGCCGCCATGATCAGTAAAATTGGACCAATGAGAGTAGTTTCGCAAAATCGCAATTCGCGTCTATATGAAACAAGCTTAACCGGGTAAAGAATCCAATAATTTTAACCTAGTTCATGTTAAAAATGATATACCTAGGGATGAGTAGTTCAAATAACCCACCTCGAAAATACTTCAGAAACAGTATTTCCTTACTTATCTATTGACACAAAATTAAAAATTCACCAGCAATTTAATCGTTTTCAAATTCTTTTATCTCAAAACACATATATAATTAAGTAAAAAACATATTTTAACCTAGTACAAGTTAAAAACGATACCAATTTAATTTAGTACATGCTGCTAGGAATGAGTAGTTCAAATGACCCACCCCGAAAACACTTCAGAACAAGATTTTCTTATTCTCTAATGAAACAAAACAAAAAAAAAATATAGAAAATAATGAAAATTTACCGGTAATTTAATCAGAATCATCGCCCTCATCATCATCATCGTCCTCCGCACCGCTGGACTCGGGAGTGCTGAGTATCTCTTCCTCCTCCTCTTCATCTTCACTCTCTTTCTTCTTTTTGTCTCCTTTTTTGTCTTCTTTGGCACTCTTTTTAGAGGCTTTCTTCTTTTTATCATCATCCGAACCACTGTCTGAACCTTCCTCTTCTTCATCTTCGCTTCCTTTTTTCTTTTTGTCAGGTTTCGATTCTTTAGCGCTCTTTTTAGAAGCTTTCTTCTTTTTATCATCTTCATCAGATCCACTGTCTGAACCTTCTTCTTCTTCACTTTCATCCTTTTTCTTGGACTTTTTAGTTTCCTTTTCATCGTCGCTTTCTTTTTTCCTTTTCTCAGGTTTAGAATCCTTCTTTGAGTCTTTCTTCTTTTTATCATCGTCATCTGAACTACTATCCGAGTCTTCGATAAATTCTTTACTCTTGAAGCTTCCAGAAGTTTTTGAAGGTGATTCTGCTGCAGGTTTCTTCGAGGAAGACGAAGATTTCTTACTCTCTGATTTCTTGGAGTCTGATGACGACTTCTTGCTGTCACCCCCACCGCTCTTCTTGTATTCCTCCATGGCTTTGGTGTATTCTTCTTTTTCTTTAGCGGCTTTCTGTTCCCACTCGCTTTTGTCTTTGAGTTCCCTCCACATTTCTCCGCCTTTTTTCGCGATTTCCGTCACCTTGATGCCGGGGTTGTCTTTTTTGATTGATTCCCTGTGAGCGTTCAGCCACAACATGAAAGCAGTAGCTGCGCGTTTGGGCCTGTTTTCGTCTTTGTCTTTTTTAGATTTTCTCGGTTTTCGCGGTTTTTCCGATATAGTTTTGGCGCTCTTTTTCTTCTCTTTCTTTTTCTTTTCCTTCTTTTCACCATCTGAAACAAACAGGGTTGTTTTAAACATTTTATTTAAAAACATGTTTAAAACACAATTACTTGTTTTGAAAAACTTTTTTTTTAAAGATTTAGCCCAGTATGTTGATAAGGATGAGTAGTTCAAATGACCCACCTAGAAAATATTTCAGAACAATGTTTTCTTATTGTCTAATGACACAAAACCAAAAATATACTGGTAATTTAATCATTTTCACATCATAATTTATCAAAAAAACCTATATAAACAAGAAAGCAAAACAATTTTAGCATAATACAGGTCAAAAACGACACCAATTTCACCTAGTGCGTTATTAAGAATCGGTAGTTCAAATGAACCGCCCCAAAAATACTTCAGAAAAAACTTTCCTGGTTTTATAATGACACAAAACAAAAAGAAACTACCTGTAGACCATCCTCCGTTTTCGCCAGATTTACTTCCATGAATAAATTTTCAAAAAAAAAAAAAAAAATTTTCCATATTTACAGACAGAATTATGGATTTTTTTTTTAAAAATTACATACCTGAACCCTCTTCGCCAGCTTCGCTTTCACTAGTGCTAGGATTGCTGTCGAACTCCTCAGCAATGTCGCTGTCTTTGGCCTTTTCCTTGTCGGGATCAAAGTCCTCGTCGGTGCTCTCGTCATCGTCATCGTCATCATCTCTTTCTTGCCCTAAAAACACCAAAAAAATGATAAAATCATACGTAAAAAAATTCTTGTTAAGAAAAATTATTTACCTTCTGCTTTAACACGTTCGAGATAGGCATCTGGTGCAGCCTCTTCATCAGAATTGCCAAAGTCGTCGTTATAAGAGGCTTTATCCTGTAAAATACAATTCAAGGATATATAAGAAGTAAAAAAAATAGGGCGAAAAATTCAGGAGTATTTTTAAAAATAATGTGGGCAGAAAAAGTGACCAGACAAATGTGACAAAATGTAGTATGGCCTGGCAAATATTTTATTAAAAAAGTAAGATATTCTTAAAAAAGATTTATTTCTAAGAAAATATGCAAATTTTTCGGCATAATTAATATCTTATAGCTTCTATTATTTTTTTTTTAATTTTTGTTTTTTCTTTTAACTAAAAAGATTATGTTTTTTTAAGTTTAGCCAAAATAAAAGTTTTCTGAAGCTCATTCACACATGTAAAAACTACATAATGCCTCACTACAATTCTTGAAAAATGTTCGTTTATTTTTTTGTCAAAATCTAGTCACTTTATGGATTGTAGTATTAAAAAATAATAATGTTTCAGGATAATAATATTACCTTCATCTAATCCAAGCAGCAAAATAAAATAATTAAGAGAATTAATTATATTTCAGACTATTTAATTTTTTTTATAGTAAAATCGCAAATTGGTATATTTTTAATATAAATCTGACCAAGTTATTGGCCCTTAAACCCTGTACACTAAGTAACATTTTACCTGTCAGTCTTACTTGTTCAGTCAAAACGTATCAAATAAAGGTCCCCATACACATGGGTTTATTTTAAAAATAATGTAATATTGTCTTTCACTACTACAATTTATAAAACAAAACCGCAGGTAAAACTTTCAATTTGTATGCTTTCAATGTGTAAAAATGTATGCTCCTCCTATCTGACAGGTAAAACGTTACGTGTAGACGGGGCTTTAAACACAATATCAGTGTCATAAATGTTTCATAAAAATTTTATCAAAAGATAAAGAAACCAGAAAAGTGTTTAACTAGTTTATAGATAAATTTTCTCTAGTGTCAATAATTATCCTTTTTTTTTTAATACCATAATACCATACAATCGAAAAAAAAACGGTATCAAAGACGGCTGGGAATGACAATCGATAATAATTTTGGCGAGGTCAAGCCCTAGACGTTATTAACATTGCCTGTACAATTTTTCTTTATTCTTTAATGGCGCTTACTGCCAGCTGGCCTTAAGAAGGTTGTAATTTATTTTTATATTGATTAAAAATGATGTTAGTTGTTTTTTTTTCAAACTATCCTTTTTTAACCTTTCTATCTGTTAATTTTTGACAAGGTTTTTGTCAAATTTTAGTAAATGGCATCTAGAGATTGACCTCGCCAAAATGATCATTGATTGTCATTCCCCAGCCTTCTTTGACGCCGTTTTTTTCGATCGTACGGTATAATAGTTATTATTACTAGTAATAAAACATACAAACAACTTCAAAAACAAACTTACACTCTTTCCTCTGTTCTTAATATTGATCTTCTTTGAGGTTATGAAATCAAATAATTTCCCATATTCCTCCTTTTCGATACTGCTAAACGTGTGAACTGTTCCTGACTTCAACTCAACCTCAAAATCAAACGATCTTGCACCTCCACCACCTCTAGCGAAGTTCACAGAAGAAATTTCTTCAAATCTTATGTGAAGAGGCGGTTTGTGAACGTATATGAACCCTCTTTCCAGTGGGTACAAGTAACCAGCAGCTGCCTTGAAGGAACAACCCACAGCTGGGGTACCTGAATGTCTATGAAAAAATTAATCAAGTAAGCAACTATATGTATAGTAAATCAATGATGTTAATGAATGTTCAGAGAATTTCTTGTTATAAAATAACGATTAATCTTACCCAATAAACCCTCCAGGTCCTGTAAGCTTCCTTCCCACAATATGCTTCATAACTTTTCCTAAAACTTCGTAAGTCGGCCCAGACAACTCTTTCTCTAATTTACCTTCATATTTCTCCTTCAATTCTTCACTAAAATTACAAAAAATTAAAAACATCATTAAGAAAAAAATAAAACACTTAAAAAACTTACTCAGTATATGGTAACTCTATTGAAGTTTCATCCTCCTGCTTGAAAAGAAGCACCAAGAAGTGGTACCTAGTTTGACCCTGTTTTATTGGAGGATCTAAGCTCACAACAAAGAACATCTGTCTACCATCCTTATGGGGTAGAATAAATAAACGCAGAACTGTCGACATGGGAATCTTGTAATCGAATGTTTTACCGTGAAGTTGGAAAAAGGAGGTAAAGATTTTAATGTCATATCGACCTCTAAAATAAAAAATAATGTAGAGATAGAGCAATTTTTCAAAAAATAATTTTTACCTAGGAGTAAGACAGTGAATTTCTCTAAATATAGCAATAGCATCGCCAGACACATTGATGACACTCGCTTTCTGCATAACATTCTGTTGAAACGCTTCGACTGGGTCTGTATCGCCTGCCAATTCACTTGAAGGAATAAAAAATCGCATTTCCATAAGACTCACAGGGGCATCATCATTCTATATTAAAAAAAAATGTATAAATCTTACTAAAAGAACATAAAAAACCTCCAAACCTGATGAAATTCCACTGTTATTTCATTCTTTCCAGCAGTGCACTGCGAAACATGGTTCAAAGGTATTTCAAAAGCGCTTTTTTCCCCAATATCGAAGCTTAAAACTGAGCCTTTAAACTTGGCAGTGCCCCAGTTCCATCCTTTCAAGCTTAATTCTTTTTCCAGCATATCTATCTTGTAGGTATTCGAAAAGAACTTGGCAATTTTTTCTTTGTCGGATTCTTTGAAACCTACGTATCTGTGTAATGTGCCGTTCTTCATAAACATGCGAATGCCCCATGTGCCAGCAAAATTTTGGAAGTTTACTGCTTCTAAATCAGACGAGGGTATTTGTTCGACTTTACCGGTCTTGCTGTTCTTGAATATTATGTTTTGGTCGGTCATTTTGAGTCTTCCAGAAATCTACAAAAGTAAAACAAAACTGTACCTAACCAAAACAACAAGAAAGCTTGTGAAACACTTACCATGCATCCTTTTGTCTCCGAACTTATGTCGGAGTATTCCAAAAAATCCATGGTATAAGGGATTTACAACCAACACGGTGTTATAAATAATTTTCAAATGATCTCTTAGGAAAAATAAGAAAATGCCGGGAAAATACTCAAGAAACAAGAGAAAAATGTCAATGTCAGAAAGAATGTCAAATGTCAAATTATTCAAATGTCATTTTACTCCTTAGTAGGGCTAGCAAGAAAACATCGATATGAAATATATCGATATTTGTTTGAAATGTATCTATCATCGTAATTTCAATTTCCAGATTATTCAAATATTTCTAATTATGGTGTAGATTTCCTTTACATATTTAGATCATTTCCCTGTAATTCGGCCTGTTGTCGGCTATGCGGGTCACCAATGTACCCGTATTGATAAAATATATCGAATTTTTTTAAATTTAACCATTCCTACTGTTTCGTGCGCCCTCTGGGGATTAATTTCGGTATTAAATATTATTATACTATACTGTCATCTAGCCCACAAAAGCAGAACTAATCTCCAGTTTTTATTAAGAAACCTATATTATCGGTAATTTATCCTACCAAGCAACAGATGGCAACCATTGCATAAAATAGTTTAACAGTTTCTTCATAGAGGTCAGCAGAGCCAATAACAAAAATCTAGGGATAAAATATTTTTTATTGGCTGTGTGACTATTGGCAACATTGATCAGAGACGGTTAAAAATTTAAATTGTCTTGTTTGTTGTTTAAAAATTAAAAACAATTTTAATTAAAATAGTGTAGTTTGGTGTTAAATCTTTCGAATAAAAGAATAAATAATCGAGTAATATGGAATACTGTACTCCTAAAAAACCCGACCTTAGTCTTTTAAGGAAGATTCAAATACCTCCATCGCCTTGCATGAAAAAGATTGGGTTTGGAACAGGTACTTAAAACATAATTTCAAGCCTCGAAATGTTCATTTTCTACCTTTTAGGAATCGCTGTTTATGAATTAGAACGTTCCCCGGCGTTCAACAAGTTCAGATCGCCGTGGGCAATCAAAAAACTCATAAGACGTAACAAAAACAACAACGCCATTCAAGAGAGGCTCAGAAATGAAGCTGATATATTAAGAAAACTCGTACATCCAAACGTAGTCGGTTTCAGAGCCTTTCTCGAGAACAAAGACGGTAATAACATCTTGGCTATGGAGGAATGTAGCAGTTCTTTAGGTGACATGATTGAAACAAGAAGCGATGACGAAGGTGGACCTTTTTCTCCAGAACTCATAACAAAAGTTGCTCAAGACGTAGCACAGGCTCTCAATTATCTCCATAACACTGCCCTAATCATGCATTGTGATGTAAAGTCTTACAATGTGTTAATCAAAGGGGATTTCGTAATTTGTAAGCTATGCGATTTTGGAACATGTTTACCACTGACAAAAAACGGTAATATTAACAATGAAAAAGCCCCAGGGGGTGAATACATTGGTACTCAAGCTTGGTCTGCACCTGAGGTACTTAGTTACCCTCAAATAATAACTAGCAAAGGTATTTTTCTTCATATATATATTGAAATAAAATTATACTGTTAATTTTTCTAGCGGATATATATTCATTTGGACTTGTTATTTGGGAAATGATAGCCTTGTGTCCTCCAGTAACAGAAGATGTAGCAGACAGCTTAGAAAATTGCACCAACATGGACGTTGAAGAATTTGATAAGCTCTTAGAAAAAATGTCTGCAAGAAGTAGACCACCACTACCAACTGATGTTGAACTAGGTTGAAATATAGACTGTAAAAAATATGTAATAATTATTTTTTGTTTTAGGTAACAAATATGACAAAATATTAGAAATCTACTATTGCTGTACTGACGAGAAGATGGAACGTAGACCACCTTCAGAAGATTTAGTTGTAATTTTGGATGATATTTAAAGTTAAAGACTTATTTGCAATAAATTAGATTTTATTTTTTCAATTTGTATTGTATAGTTAACAAAAATAAATATAAACTCTTTTACCTCAGTCTTTTATAATTCTTCCTTAGCTACTTTTGTTTTATTATTGTTATTTTCATAAAGTAACACACCGATTAAATCGTTTATAATGTACTGAAAATAATCTTCTGTATCTTCATCTTTTAAGTGACTGTAGGAACTCTCTAGTTGGTTGAAAAGTGCCTTATTATAACTATTACTGCATTTTTTTACCATACCTTTCATAGACAACAAACATTTCTCTATCGAATCATAGTCATAAATGTCTATTTGTATTAAATCGGTTAACAAATTGTTCAAGCTGTTACACCAACCCAACTCATATAATTTCTCTTCAATATCAACCAGCTCATGATTCTCAAAGTTACTTACATCTTTTTGTCTTTCTATTATAAAGTCATTTAATAAAGTTACTAGCTTTAATTTCAGTTTAACTGAACCTGACTTAAATAAACTTGAAAATATTGTCAAACCTCCTGCTTCAATAAATCTATTCTGTGCATAAGGAAATGTTCGTAGCGTACAGCTTAAAGCAGTAACAGCACTATTTTTTATATGAGGGTTATCATCCAAATTTAACAACCTCAGCAGCATTGTGATCCCTCCTGTTTCAAGAATATGGACTTTCACTTTAGGACTATTTTGAGCAAGTGTACTAAATAGTTTTAATGCTTCTTGTTTAACAGCAAGATTGGTTGAATTAAGCTTCTTATAAACAATCTTTTTGAAACCATCCATTCTAACAAATTCGTTTCCATTATCAATCTGATGACTTAAATATATTAAGTCTTTCAAGATCTTTAAAATTTCTTTAGTATTTGGTTGTTTTTTCTTATCTTCTTCTTGGAATTTTGCAAATAAGTCTTGTAAAATTTCAACATCACTTTTAGGAGTAATTTCTATGTCTCCTAAATCTTTCTTTATCTCGTCTAAAGTGCGAAATTTCTTGGGCATGTCATTCTCGGGGTTTTTCTTATCTACATCTTTCAGAGCACTGTACAGAGTTTCATCTTCTTTTATCACTGAAATACCTTTTTTATTTGTATCTGATTCATCATCTTCGTTGATTTTGGCTTCTTTTTTACCGGTTGACAAATTTATTCGGTAATGTAAACCAGAGGGGACTTTTTGGCCTTAAAAAATAACGTTTTAAGTTTAAAACGGACTCAATATGTTTGTTATGGCACCTGCTTTTATAACTTTCCACTCTTTAGTTGGTACAAATATTTCGTCAGACTCGGTATCTTGTTTATCCTCGCAAATAGAATTAGAAAATAATATTAAAAGTACTAAAATAATATTAAAATTCATTTTTGAATGGAAGAAAATTTCAAAACACATTTTCAGAGGTTAGGTTTTTGACGTCTAACATTTTGGGTGTCGATAGATGTACGCTAAACGGATGAACAAAATAAATTAATTGTCCGGTGTTCATATAAATATCATCTCGGAATATTTAAGATTATTTATTACTTTCAGGTAATTGGGTAATTGTTACTCGAATAAAGAATCCTATGCATATAAACTATCGGAATAAATTATTTTAAATAATTAATTTGTTTGTATTGTTTAATAAAACCGGACTCTAAAAATTTATTTCATTCTTCCGTTAAGCGTACGACTAGACACTTCAAAATTGTCAAATATTTATTTGTAAACATTTCATTGGTCAAATTTTTGATAAAAAGAATTTAAATAAAATAAGCCTATTTTTAATAGAGAAAAAACTGTAATATTGATTATAAAATTATCATAATTTATATATTAATAAATACCAAATTTGTTATAACTAAAATACATAAATATAAATTTGAAATCAATGGAAAAGGTTTAATTATTTACCCTTACCTACTTTAGTATGCTTCATCTTGATTTTTATTATCAATAATTATTATTAGATTTATTCGTAGAATAAATTTATAAATTTTATTATTATATAATTTAATTGTCAATTTATAAAAATAGCCGATTAAAAACAAATATAAAAAAATAAATTGTCAATAAAGATTTGAATTTGACTTTTTCAAAAACAGTTTTGGGAGTGGCTACAGATATGCAGTTAATCCTGTATTTTCCGATTAATTTTTTTGACTTTCCTAGAAGTAGAAAAATTAAGGGGATCTATGAAATTAATATAACAATTAAAAACGTAAAAATAAACTATAAATCATTTAGAAATAGTGGGTATTATTCGAAAAATAATTTTTACATTTGACGGACTGTAGACACATCCATTACGTACAAGCAGAAGCGCCCTCTGGACGAACTGCGCCCGCCATTTCTGTTCATCTATCAAAGCGGCAACTTCTCGTCCTCTTTCATATTTCTCGTCCGCCTTTAACGCTTCACTCGGCGTCTAGTCACGTGCAAATCTCCCGAAATCCAAAACCATCCACAGTTTAAAATGGCAGATGAATACTTTTTCGGTACGTACAACGTTTATATTATTTATTTCCGTTCGTATTTTTGGCGGAAACGTCAGAATCGATGCCGCTAGGCCGCTTGTAGAAGCCGGTATTTGGCGCCATTATCGGTACTTATTAACCAGCTATGTATTCATCGGAATTGTTTGTTTTCAGCACTTACATTAAAAGGAAAGAACTCCACGGAGGTTTGGGACCCCGAAGCGAAAGGCGCCGCAGCGGATGACTACCAAGGGGGCCACAAACTTATCATAAAACATGCTCTATTAGGACCAGAAGCCGCAGACGGTAAGCTTGAAGTATTGCATGATTTTTAACAATATATTACCGTAAATTGTATGTTTTTTTAGGCGAGGATAATGTAGTACAAGTGGAGGCAATGACATGGAAGGATTCAGTAAAAATTCCAATTGCTGTCTTAAAGGCTGGCGCAAACAGACAAGTATTACTAGACCTCTCGTTCCCAGACCCCCCAGTAACGTTTACGCTAATCCAAGGTAATGGACCTGTTCATATTAGCGGGCATCATTTGATCGGGGGTCCCATAGAAGAATACGAAGATATGGATGAGATGGAGGAAGAAATGATAGAAGATGATGAAGGAGAGGAGGGAGCTGTAAGTAGCAAATTTAATAATTTTAAAACGGTGTTATCAGAATTAATAATTCAGACTTGTTCTTATGCCTCTATGATGCACTGTTTTCAGTTTAACTCGTTTCAAATAAAGAGTAATCAATGAAAGTTGGCTTGAATGTTGTCAAAACTATTTCAGAGTGCACTTTTTTCCTTTTTTTATACTCAGATCTCGGTTTAAAGCAAACTGTGGCATCAAGTAAACGAATTGGGCAATAAAAATAATGTTTTATATTGGTAGTAATGTGTTGTTTTTGATTTTATTAATTTTTTTCTGAACTGATATTTGTCATTTTTAATTTTATTCCCAGTTTTCTTTGAGAAATTTGAAATTATATCTGTATTTTGTTTGGTTAAAACTGATTTTCAATGCAATAAAGTGTCATAACCACTAAATAGTTAGAATCAGTAACTTGTTTCATCTGTATTCATATATTTTGAACAGGAAAAGGATCATGGCTAGTTCCTTTTGGCATTAAACAGGGTTACAAAGGTAAAAATTGATATTTTTGCTTAAGTTTTGCAGCTTTTTTGAAAGTACCTTTCGGTGTATTTCAGCTGTGATTAGAATCTCACAAAATTGAAGGCTAATGTTAACCAATTAAAACCTTAATAATTTTGCAAGCCTTTATTCAGAAAATTTGTCAATAACTCCATTTAATTAGAATTTGTTTGTCTAATAATCATAGACAAAGTAATAATGTAGATAAAATAAGTATTTATTTATGTATTGTGTCTAAAACTGAAGTGAAGAATCAATAGTGATAAAATTGCAAATATTATTTGTTACTTGTCAAACACACGTCAAAGTAACAGTGACAACACTGCGACGTGCATTTGTCAAAAATTTTGATGACGTCCAGGCACAGTTGCCAACTTTGCGTTTTTTTCTTCAGTTTAGGAGGGAAAAAAATAGCAGCTACCGTTTTTTTGTGATTTAAAATTTTCAATAATAAATAAATAAAATTTATACAAAAATTATTATTTATGTTCTATCTGGTACCTAGGCTTAGAATCGCCTAAAATCGAAGTTGCATTAAATCCGTCTGATAATGAGGTAGATACAATACTTTTTTTAAAATGTACAAAAATAGGCAACACTGTATAATTTCAGTTTCAGCGTCGCTTCTAGCGGATTCTAGCGATTTGAGGCATAAGCGTAGGGTTGAGACATTTCTTCTATGTGGTATTGCCAGATTTTGCATCAAAATTTCAAACGCAACATCTGTTGCATTTGAAAACAAAAATTGTTGCATCTATAGTTAGAACTTTATTTTTCACAATTAGTTACTCATTTTACTACAACTGTAATAGATTATATTTAGCGAAAGTTTTTAAAAGAGTTAATTTTTTTACCACATTTTCCTACACACGTAAAAAACAGCAACACTGTATGTCGATTTTATTTTGTTTCTCTGTCTGTCAACCAGTCATTTATATTTATCTCTATCTCATGTATTCAACTGCGAGAGCTAACAACATTTCCTATTTTATAATATTCAATAAAATGTCAATTTAAGCATGCTGAAACAATGACAGTGCATACAGGCATTAATAAATATCTTAATTAAAAGTGATGTAGGTGAAGTAATGTATTTCTTGTCTAGTTTCCTCATCGTTGTATATGTCGGTTATATTTCCAACAAAACTGGGTCTGGTTTCTTTGTTTTTAAATACATTTTCGACTACTTTATGCTTCTGATGGTTAATGTTAGTTTCTAGGAAACTCCCTACGAAATAAACTCGGCAAGAAGTTGGGGAATTTCATAGCAAGCAAGCTGGCAAGTAGTTTTTATTTTTTTAATCTCCTTTCCCTTGTTAAATCGCTACAAAATCTAGTTAAATACCTTTGCATTTCTTATTTATTTGTAATACCATACAATCGAAAAAAAATTGGTGTCAAAGACGGCTGGGGAATAATAATTGATGATAATTTTGGCGAGGTCATTCTCTCATCATCTACTAAGAATTGACATAAAACTTGTCAAATTTAACACTAATTATAAAAAGATTAAAAAAGGATGGAATGTTTTCAGACACAAATCTACTTCAAAAAAATTATTTTTTCTCGAATTTTAAGTGCAGTAAGCACCATTAAAAAATAAAGAAGAGTATAGGCGTAGTAATGACATCTGAAGCTTGACCTCGCCAAAATTATCATCAATTGTCATTCCCAGCCGTTTTTGACGCCGTCTTTTTTTTCGATCATAATATGGTATTTTTCTTGAGAGTAGAAATTTTGTCTAGATTTTCTCATAGTTTAACTGGTAGTTCTTCTTTTTGCCTCAGTTTTGTTGGAGTATCTTATTTGTGATGTTCTAGGGCAGTGATGGCGAATTTGAAATTTTGAAATGAAGTAAAAGGCTTCACAAAATGTCAAAGAAAGTGTATAATAATTTTATTCACATTTTGTTTGCTGAAAAAAAATTCCGTTACCGTAGTTGAATTTTAAAAATATCTGGTTTTAAAAATTATTCAGTATTAAAAATTTTAAACTTAACTCTGGTGCCCTTAATGGGTATTAATGACCCAAGCAGTAGTATTAAAAAAATATGAATAAAAAAATCAAAAAGGTTCGCCATCTCTGTTTTAAGGGAAGGTTTTGGTGGAAATTAACAATAAATTTGGAGAATCTCAAATGATTATTCCAAAAGGGTGGTTATATTTTCTTTTGGTGGTTCAAACAAGTGGTTTTATTATTTTTCTGAAAGCTATAAAGGTAGTGGCAAAAGTGCATCGACTACCCCAGGCAATATAAAATCATTTTTTATACCATTACTTTATTACTAATCCAACCAATATTCCAGTAAGCATTTTTTATCTTATTTTTTCTTCTAAAGATTTCCTAATATACCGGGTGCGTCCCAAAAGTGGCTCATCCCTATAACTTATTTTTTTTTCAGATAAATGACATAAATTAGGATTGATTGACGTATTCAATAGTTTTCGGTCATTTCCTGTTTCACCGGAAGCGACTACAGCTTTTGATTTTTAAATGGCACCCTCGGGATTTTTTAGGTACTTTATTCGATAGAAAATGACACTCTGAATAGAATGACATCATATGTCAACTTTTGACTTTTTTGCTTAAAAAAATCGTATTTTAAATTTCAAGCTAGAGTGCCACGGCTGTGTTAAAACACTAATTTTTAATCAGGGATCCTAGGAAAAATAGATTTGATTGTCTAATGTTTTTAGTGTCTTGTTCTGGCCAGTTAAAAGATGCCCAAATCGTATTTTTAATCATATCTCAATTTTTTCAAAAACCATATGCGAAAATGTCAAAAGTAATACCGAAGGTGCCATTTAAAAATCAGAAATTTTAGTCATTTCCGGTGAAACAGGAAGTGACCGAAAACAATTGAATACGTTAATCAATCCTAATTTATTTCTTATACTAATATACCAAATTTCGTTTTTTTTATCTGAAAAAAAGTTACAGGATGTCAAAAATTGTTTTGTTGGGTAAATTTGATTTGATATTGATTGATTGATACCTTCCTTTTTTAGGAAGATGATGAGGAAACTAGTTATAGAAAACGCAAAATAAATGGAGATGCAAAGGTGCGAAATTTTAATCACTAAATTCCTTTTTAACTCCGTATTCAATTTTTAATTTTTATTATTTGAAAACAAAACAAATTATTTGTCAAGTAGATGTCACACCTTTTAGTTTTATTTTTATACAGTGTCCCAGATTAATTCCTCATCATATGGAACTTCTTTTTAGGTGAAATTTGACTTGGGCTATAGTTTATACTTTGATTTAGATTAATAATGACAGAATAAAACGGCCTTGAATTTTTACTCCCAGCGCGCGTCCGTACCACTTTTTGTCTCGCTAGCTCGTGTCAGCCTCATTTTCACTTCAAAAGTTCCATATGCTGCGAACTTTATCTGTGATACTATACAGTGTGTCTCAATATTCTTTGGACATAATGACACCAAAAATCTCATTCAAATCGGAATAACGGTTCTTAAAATAACTGAAAAAATGTGTTTATTTTTTTAAAGTTTGATGCCCTCTAGCGCACAAACGAAGCACTAGTTCTATGTCCACGGAATATCGGGACACCCTGTATATGATCTAGAGATTTAATAGATATAGTTTATTAAATAAAAATGGATTGTTTTGTTTTTTCTAGGAGGAAGAGGAAGACGAAGAGCCCAAATCGAAGAAGGCGAAAACGTCCAACAACACAAAGGGCAAGTCGCCTGTGAAAAATAACAAGGCAAAAAAGTAAAGAAAGCGCTCTTGCAAAGGGAATTTTTTACTTTTAATTTTATCCATGTAACTTAGGTTAGGTTTTACTTTCATGTTTCGCTCGCAACTTTTGTTTTCCTCATCATTTTTTGGTCTCTCGTTTCAGTTAATTTTCTTATCGTTAAGGACGAATCACTTATACACATATTTATGTAGTATTCGCGGTAATTCTTTAAACATTTGTGATTGTCGACAGTATACATGTGAATTGTGAAATTAATGGCGTATTCGAAAGGGACATAATCTTGTGAGTTTGAAGAAATTCTAAAATTATTACTTTCGAATAAGACTAAAATGCCCAAATAGGTATTTATTATTATTATAACAAGCAGGATCAATAATTGTAAATATACAATCTCATTAAAATAGTTTTTTTTCTACAAAGAGACTTATTTAATACCCTTATTCCTCCTTATACTCTTTTATCAAAAACAGAGATGGCCTGGAAATAAGATCACTCTCATTTTACATAAGAAATGTCACACATCGATCATCTTTTCCAAGTCAACTGGATGCATAACATATTAAAGTAAGAATAAAAATCAACAAATAAGAATCACAATAGTAAACACTTACCGACAGCAGGCTAGAATGCGTTTTCCATCTAATTTACACTTATAGAATATTTTCTTGTTTAATCATTGTGTAGTAATACAAATAACTAAGTACATTACACTAATAATACAATAATTACTATAGAAGAAATAAAACAAACTTTCTAAACTCGTTAAAATTCATTAAAAACTGATAGTTTGGTCAAACAAAAGAAAATCAAAATTTCCGTTTGCCAACCGCCATCATGACGACGTTGCCAGATTACTAATCAATTCCAAAGTCAATTCTATAACTTTATAAAACGAAACAGTAAACAATAATTATACAAATTGTAATTATATACAGGTTCCCCGTTACATTGCAACAAGATATTTACAGTACATGTATGCTCATTAAATTATTTTTTTCATTTTAAAATTCTTATGAATTTTAAAAAAGAAATCTGACAACGATGCAAAATTTCAACAACAGCGATGTACCAAGAATTTTCTAGTTTTTCTATTTATTATTTCACAAAATAAACAAGTTTTAATAAAGAAAACAACAGCTTCTTAAAAATTCAGTGTATTTATAAGCTTTAAAACAATTATTGCATATACAATCAATAAATTAAATCTCATTTTCAACATTAATCTTAATATAAATATAAATTATTCAACTAAACTTAACTTATCAACAATATGAGGAGGTATCATCAAATTTTTAACCAACAACTCCATTTCCATGGGCCCGTGTTCCCGCAGCCTACATAACAAGTCTTTTAAGGCACTTTGACAACCATTCAACCATACGTTTGAATCAATTTTAATTTTTTCGGCGTTATGCTTTTTCTTGTACACCTGAGTCTGTTTCATCGAAGCTAACAGTGCTTCTTTATCACGAATTTCTTTTTCTTTTATCATTATAAGTTTCAATAAGTCTTCTTTTTGTTGCTGTTCCATTCTAGGTGAACATGTAAAGTCATCATCGTCATCTTCTTGACATATACGGCTAAGTATTCTTTGTCTACTAGATTGTTTATCTGAATTAGACTTATTATTTGGCATTCTTTCTAAATTAATTGATACTTCTTTCATTTTATTGTCATTTGATACTTTTATCGACTGTTTTGATAGAGATTTATTAGATATTTTTAGATTCTCCGACAACTTTTTAGGGCTATGCTCAGAAACATCATTGTTTACCTTAACTAAACTACTTAAATCAAAATCATCTAAATCAATACCCTCGTTCTCATAGAAAGCTTGAGGGTTTCTCGAAAACTCTTTTAAATAGTCTTCAGTAGTAAATTTACCTAACCTAACACTACTGTTACTAGAAGCACTAGCGCTATGGTCTAAAGAACCTGTTATAAAAGTTATAGGATTCCTTGTATGAGTTATAGGTTCCGATGGGTGTTTACAGTGAATAACTTCTTCAGAAGATCTATGAACATCAGCCTTTACTTCTATCGGTGTGCTATCTTCAGGTTCACTATCAGAACTTATTATAAAACAGTCCTTTTTTGGATTTTTTTTATTTTGTGTGCTGCTATTATCAGTATTTGTTTTTTGAGGTAAGTTTATATCCTTACTTACTCCAGAACTCTCTAAATTACATTTGGAAGTCTCTAATTCCTTTTCTTGGACATTATTACCGGTATTCTCTATTGATTCTTCACTAGATTCCAATTTCATGACTACTTTATTATATTTATCTGGTTCTACATTACAAACAGTAGTAGATTTCTTTAAATTCTTTACTTGAGCGTTATTTTTTAGATTTGCCATTGATTTATCACTAGATTTCAATTTTCTGTCTGTCCTGTTACTTTTAACTTCTTCAAAATCTTCTTCAGAGTCGCTGGTATCAAACTGTAGTCTCCTTTTTCTATTATTAGTGGTTTTATGTGTATCTGAATTTATTTTAGACCTGTTATTTTCAACATTACTATCGGGATACTGTCTGCAAACATTTTTATCTTGTATCTGACTAATGCTATCATTGGTATTTGTTTTTTGATTTAAATCTACATTCTTATTTACTTCTAAACTGTCTAAATTACTTTTAGAAGTCCCTAAAACAATGGCAGATTTCTTTCCTTTTTTTTCTTCAACATTATTTTTGATATTTTCTATTAATTCTTCACTAGATTTCAATTTCATGACTGTCTTCCTACCTTTAACTTGTTCTACATCATCACCAGAGTCAAAGTTTTTGTCAAGATTCTCTAAAACAGTAGTAGATTTTTCTAAATTCCTTTCTTGAACATTATTTTTTATGTTTTCCTTTGATTTATTGCTAGATTTCAATTTTCTGACTATCCTATTACTTTTAACATCTTCAAAATCTTCATCAGAGTCACTGGTATCAAACTGTAGTTTCCTTTTTCTATTTTTACTGGTTCTATGTGAATCTGAATTTATTCTAGACCTTTTATATTCAACATTACTATCCGAATCTTGTTTGCAACCACTTTTATCTTGCATCTGACTAGAACTTGTATTTTTCTTACTTTCTTTAGATACTTCTTTTACAATTTCGTTTTCTTTAGTGGACGCATAATGACATACTTCTAGCAATATTTTTTTCTCTACAAACTCTTCTTTAATCTTGCTATCTTCATGATTAATTGAATTTTTACTATTTTTGACTGAACTTCTATGAACCTTATCATTTTTAGGTTTATCTGAAGAATTTGATTTTTTACAAGGTATCAAATCAACTTTGCAAGTCTTATTTTCAACCACTGATGTATTTAATTCCGGTAACTTGTTAACTTGTAAGTTTTCACCTTTATTTTCAGGAGTAAGGGGAACTAGATTTTTATTCTGATTTGGTTTTCTTGACCTAGATAATCCCAGTCTATAAGGAGTCGAAGTTTTATTACTAGCTCCAACATTAGTATTTTTTACTTGATTAATACAACTTGCAAATTGTTTTAAAACATTAACACCAACTTGATTTACATCTAACGGTTTAGCTTCATTCAATGGTGATATTATATTATTAGCACAACTTTTCTCTACAGCAATTTCGTTATTTATTACAGAGTTTGCGTTTAACACCGGACTTGACTGAAGGATATTATTTTTAGGAGTTCTCCTTGTTTTGGACAGCCCTACTCTTCTGCAAGGCGTCAAAAACTTCTTATCGATCCCCGCACCGGCGTAATTCTTTAAAAGAGACTGTTTATTTTCTGGTGTAGTCATTTTAAATAAAAATTGTTTACAAAAATTTTGTTTACATTTTTTTAAGGTTAAAATTCTGACTTCAAACCTCAGATTAAACAAACAATTTCTATGAATATAGCAGGACGACCACCAGCTTAAAATCCCTGGTTTTTTAATTGGCAGTATTGCAGTAGGTCAAATGACCCCAGCAATTGGTACCACTTAATGAACTTGTCAACGTGTTGTCAACTGCCAAAAAAACTACAAATCAAAATTAAAAAATTGTTTTTTAAATCTGTGTTTTAAGTTTTATTAACATAAATTTAGGAGAATGCTCTAAATTATTATGGAAACAGACGAGCCAAATACAGAATCTGCCCGTCAATCTATTGATATTGACGAGATAAGCATCGATATATTGCCAGTTCTCTACGAAATCATCCGTAGGTAAGTTTGACAGAAAATTGGGTTAGGCTTGTTGTTATCATTCAAAAATATTGTAAAAATAACTTGACATTCGAAAAATATCACCCAAAATAGCCTAATTTTAATTGCGTAAGTAATAAACTGTTAATAAATTAATAAAATTCTATTATTATATAATTTTTACAAGAAATATACGTTTCAGTATCGAAAAAGATCATCACGACAACACAGCTAAAACCAGAGAGTCACAAGATTGCAGTCAAAAAGTTTTGGAGCTACAAAAACGTTTAAACCAAGCCAAAGCTGACGTAAGTTGTATTTCCATCCCTTACTTTTCACAATAATAATAAAACAATCATTTCTTAACCTCAGATTCGTATGCTACCTGGCATAGAGTTCAGCAAAGAACAGCAGCTGAACCACTTAGAAGCCTTAAAGACTCAGCTTCGTCTGAAGCAAGAACTGTTACAAAAATACCGAAATTTGTGCCCCTTCAAGTTCCAGAAACCTTAGAGCAAAATTTCATGTAAAAAACAGCATGGTATTGCGATTCATACTCCGAGTTTTAGCAAATAATGAACAGCTGGTACAGAGACTGAGCGAATCGTACCCTATGCGTAGGGCAGCTCAGATTATCGTCCGGGCAATGTTCACAGGGAAAAACTTCATTGAGGAAAGAAGACTACACGAAAAACTGACTCCGGAACAATTTCAAGCTTTGATGCGTGAAATTTCGGTAGGTTTTCAAAAACAAGTTAAGCAAGTTCAAGAAAACATTCAAAAAAAGATGAAACAATAGTTTTTTTGAGAATATAGAGTAAAAATGAAAAATACAATAATTTTTATTGGTTCTCCTGAACATAACGCAAAGAAATCTTCAACCGATTACAAAAACTTGTTTCTTGTGTCTCCGAACGATGTGTTGTATCGAATTTTTACCTCTTTTGTGCCCCCATTTAATAAATTTCGAAAAATCTATGTGGATGTTTTAGGACCTTTTATTTGCCTGGTTTTGCTGTGTTTTTTTTTGAATTACGGTTATTCTCTGAAACCCCATAAAATAGACAGGTCCCCCTTCGAGTCTATTGTTTGTTTTTCTGTAATTATGCCCATTTTGTCTTATGTTTTACTAAAATTAGGTCAGTCCAGCATCAGTTTTTGGGAAACCTTGTGCGTTTTTGGATATTCCTTGTACGGTCATCTATTTACTTTATTTCTATCGTATATATTCTTTCAAGAAACGAGCGATGCTATGTTTTTTATCAGTTTGATACTAGTAGGGGGCCCTAGTACTTTGAGGCTGATTCTAGTTTATTTAAAAACAATACCAGTCCCTGGGGCAAGATTACTAATCTGTAGCATAGTCTCTATAGGAAATATTCTGTTTCTTATTTATTTATATTTTGCTTTCTTGCATAGAAATTATATGTATAGTCAAACTGTTTAAATAAATTGAGTAAATAAATAGAAGGTGTTTTTTTATTTCAAAGGCATTCATATCAAATGTGACAACATTGTAATAACTAAATAAAACCATCAGTGTTGTATCAAGAAATACTTTAAATTTAACTCCTCTAGATTTACTTATTTCTCTGATTTTTTTTTCTTAAAACTAAATAAAATTTCGTCACACTTTCGAAAAATATTTATTAAAAAAATATATACTTAAAAAAAAATGTGTAAAAGTCTCTATTAAAAAAAAGTAATTAAAAAAAGTTGATATAAAAAAGGGTTCAAACTTACATAACTATGGTAAAATTAATGTGGACAAAAATTATCAGTGCTAAAGCCGGTTACATACTAGAGGGCGTGTCGGGCGACATGTCGCCCGACACGCCCGAGTCTCACCCAGTCACGCCCAGAGTTTCACCAAGTCGGTGAAAACCAGTAAGTGACCGCTTAATTTAATTCTTTTTCTCTTGAATTTGTATTGGAAAAATCAAAATATACATACATAAATATTTTTCATTTAATTTCAACTACTTTGTGCGAATTCCAAGCAATTATTAGCTCTAATATGTATTATATTTAAAAAAATACAGGTGCTCTACCTAAATACCTATAATCCTTACAAGGCACTATCAACAATACCGTACCATCGAAAAAAAAACAGCGTCGAGTTACCTCCGAAAAAAATAATTCAAGGTAACACGACGCCGTTTTTTTTTCGATCGTACGGTATAAAATACTTAAACAATTAATAGATAGGCTCGCTAATTTATACAAAAAAAAAATGCTTAAATACTACAATGTCAAACTAAAAATAATTAAATATTTTATTGAAAGCCAGTGAAGTTTTTTTTTGAATTATTAAAGCAATATACTGGGTGAAACAGGTAAAGAGTGCCTGCTTTAAATATACAGGGTATCGCAAATAGGAAACCCTGTGTAGAAATATAAATCAATAAGTAACTAGGCGCCTATTTTTTTTAACTTGCTAAAATATTTTTTCGCTAGAATATAGATCAGAACATTATAAAACTGGTACTTGTAGTAATATAAGATACTATCAAAAAAAAAACGGCGTCACAGTAACCTTTGACAAAAAAAATTGTCAAAAATTACCATTTTTGACTTAAGAAAAGAAAGCTTTTTATTTTATATCACTTAAATAATAATTTTTGGGAATTTTTTTGTGCCAATCTTAAATAATAGTCATTTTTGTAATTTCGAAGCCCACTATGACGCCGTTTTTTTTCGATCTTATGGTCCTTAAATATACTTAAAGCCACGAATGTTACGAGAAATTGTTCGGTTTTATCAGTCTTAAATAAGAAAAAAAACAACTTCAAAATAAATGTTTTGAAGTGCGATCACAGAGCTGTGATCTTTGTGATGTATAAAATGCATATACGTATAAAAGAATATACTGGCGATTTGAAACTGTCCAAGAGCAGCAAAACCTTTGACAAAACAAGGATAAACTTATGTGAGAAATTCATTTATCACCTCTACCTATCTTTCAATATATTCTTATATATGTATATGATAAAATAGGTGCATTGTCATTTAAATCTATAATTTTTTAGGTTATGTTTCAAATTTTAACCCTGTTCAACACAAACATGTAGTTACTATTAAACTTCTCCATGAATTTATAGTTTTTCGTTGCCAAAAACTTTTTAATCGTACCAATTTCAGAGTCATTCTCCCTCACATCAACTGATATAACCTCAATTTTTACCTTATTAAACGGAATGGTTTCCAAAACTTGTAATTCTGTTCCACTAGACTCAACACTCAAAAAATCAACGCTTTTATAGTTCATTGCCAATAAAAGCGAGTATAGAGGGAAACATTTAACTCTAGTAACCAGCCAATCAGGGTTATCCACAGAGTTACTGTAAATACTGTTGATTTTTACGTCAGTTTCACCATGCAGGGTGATTTCTCGTGGATAAGGCATGGGACTAAGACAGGCATGAATGCATTGAGATCTAACACGGTTGTGTCTACGTAGATTAAAGTAATGTCTGGGATCTGGCTGGATTAGGAGTCCTTTCCACTCATACTGTCGTTCCAGGACTTCGGTTTTTGATGTTTTACCATCGCTATAAGCTCCAGATTCAACAAAAATGCCATTTTTCTGAAATGTTTCCATCCATTAATATTAAACGTTTCAACTGTATAATGTTTAATTATTATAAAACTTAAGATGACTTGCCTTATTATTAAAAATTTTCAACAAATATTCTGTTTCATTGCTCATTACATTCAGGGACTCCAAAGGTTTATGATGGGGCTCTATAGCAGGCGATATAGCCATCTCCCTCAGATATATTATCAATTGAGTGTCATCCTGAGATATACCATTCAATTCCATGTCTTTACTGAGATTTAGAGTAAACTGATGGTGTTTCATAGCTAGAAAAAATGATTTGTTAAATTCAATACATAGTTCTTTGAAGGAAAACCAACACACTCACCTGTATTGTCCATGTACAAAATCAGAACAGTCATGACTGTAGCAAAAGCAACAAAAAACCCAGCTATGGGTAAGAGTTTTTTCGTTATAACCTGACCCGGATCTTGAAGATTACACACCGGAACCTTAACAGGACTTGGAGGCATCTGATGACATCTATTTGGTTCCTGAGCCATTTGTGGATCAGTAGCATCACCATGAACTACAGTCATAGTTGTTTAATTGTTTTATAACAATTCCTAAAACAAAATTACAATTAAATCTTAATTTATATGAAAAATAGTGTTATTATTTCACAGTCGTGATAATAGTGACTCACTGTCCTATTTCCAAATAGGTTTTTGTCATTATTATTGTTCTTAACAATTTTAATTAAATAATAGCGTTTATTACATAGAGTGCCATGAAAAACAAGCACAAACTTTTTTCAAGACACCAAAGATTAATTAAATAACTAATCATACACTAAAAAATGTTTAAAAACCATAAAAATCGTCAAAATAAAACAGAAACTTACCCTGAAAACTATTTTTTTCTAACCTACAAATACTGCTGGCCTGTTTCAAGCGATATCTTCACCATAAAGGCATTATAATAATCGTCTTTGTACACGAACCACGAAGTTAAAATACGTGACAACGACAAAAGTACCACCCGAGAACATGCTCTATCTAATTTTTAGCCGTACCTGCCAGGTGCCTTATTATTTGTGAACGGACGGGAACTGCTATTATGCCATTTTCGCCCTTATTAGCATTGTTTACCTTTAAGTTTGGGTTTATTTTGAGAAGTACCTTTAAATATCTCTTTAAAATGATGTCTTTCTTACATTATTAAAATTATTTTAGAGAAAATAAAATCTTCTTTGATTTGGAAAGGTGAAAGAACCTTAGGAAAGAACCGTCAAGATTTGACAGAAAAACAATTAAATTGACATTTTTGTCATTCTTCAATATTTTTTACAAAAAAATTATGCATATTTCATGGTATTTTTGTTTTTAATACTACAAATTAAATGTAATGTTCGGAGAAACAACAATATACAAAAAAAATAATTATTTTGTACCTAATTAGACAGGTATTCATAAAAAAAACACCCAATTCTGAATAGATCGATTTTTATAATAAATTACTCTCTTTGCGTCATGTATAGAATGATACAATTAATTATTCATGGTAATATGCATCCCATTTAAATTAAATTACCTTTTCAAGAAGTATAAAAAAAATAAAAGCAATAAAAGTAATGAGCTAAAAAGTTTCCCGACACGAGGAAGTAAAATTAAAACGATGTTTTTATTAAAATTTTTGCGCATTTGATATATGGAAGTAAAAGAATAATGGAGAGTATAACGTTGTTTACATGTTTTGACGATTAAATATAAGAAAAAAATATATAATCTCAAGGAGATCTCATTTGAAGTTAATAAAATTAAAAAAGTAACGCATAATATTAAAATTTTCTAATTGATTTTAGAAAATGGCGAATGCGCTAGGCAATTTCGAATAAATGTTTATATGAAAGCATGAAAGATTTACTGAAAACTGTGCGTTTTTCTTATAAATCTGTGAGTTATGAAATTGTTACGAGTGATTTCGTTGCCATATAGGGTACGCTTCGTGGAAAAAAGTGAAAAAACTACAAGCGGTATTAATAAATTGCTATAATTTATGGCGATGTGTTGCTTATAAACAATCATAAGTGTTGTTGTTATTAATTAGATACTATTCTCGTTTGTCCTGATGTTTTTTGACCGTTGGACCAGCGATTCATAGATGCGACAGTACATAATCTTGTTGTACAGGGTCTCCCATTTTCGTGTGATTTACAGGGTTTCTCCTTTATGAGTAGAGAAACAAAAATGCGGTTTTCACATCATTGTGCTATTTTTTTATGAAACTAAAGATGCTACGTTCAGATTTGTCCTCTTAGTAGCCCTTTTAGATTCTGAAATACAGTTTATTATTAGGATTTAAGTTTTTTTACAAATAAAATAAAAATATTATATGCAGGGTATCCCATTAAAAAAAAACAAAAGTTTGGCTCACATTTCGAAAATGACAGCTCCCAGCGAAAAACTAGTTACGCCACTGGATTCTACATAAAAATTTTCGTTTAGTTATAAGATAACCAAATGAGATACAAAGGGGATTGAAAAATGCAAGAATTTCAAATTTATTGCTTTGTATTTCAGGAACTAAGATGACTAGGACAAATCTGCATGTAGCGTTTTTAGTTTCAAGAAAAAGTAGCATAGAAATGTGAAAACCGCATCTTGGTATCTCATAAACGAAAAACACACGAAAATGAGACACCCTGTGTGTACAAACAAGCTTTCTTTGGATTAAAAAATAGTAGTATAAAAGATGTGTGCTGGTTTATGAATAGAAACAAAATCATTCTCTTAAGTTTAGTCATTTTAAAGATTACTGTGACGTTGTTTTTTTTCGATTATACATTTATTTTTCTTACACGAAAATGAGAGAGATAACATTTTGCCAAATTTGGGCTTGCCTTGTACGTATATTAATTATATATAGTTAGGCATTTCGTTTTCAAACGGCCTTGTAAGAACAAGTATAGAGGAATTTGTTTTATTTTGCAATTAAATTCTCATGCAGTCTTCCACCCTTTGATCTTAATGCTTTTTGCAAATACGGAACTTGCCACAATATTACATTTTTTAACATAATTTTATTAGAATTATTTTTATTGAAACTGTTAGTTTATCACTAAACTATTTGAAGATAGGGTATATTTATTTTTTATTCTCAGTAAAAGACTACCAGCAGCAGATGATTAAGACTGTTTTCATCATCTGCTGATGATGCTAACATGGTTAACATGGTTGGTGTATTGTGGTGAATTAGTGTTTTATTTTGCTGTTTAAGAGTCTATTACGCTGTACTGTTCGGGTCGCTCTCAGGGGTCGGGTAAAGCGGGTGTATGGCCGAAGGAAATATATATTATATTTCAGAAATCTGCCTAAAGGCTTAGCCCGATCCTGTCGTGTTAAGCCACATCCAAAATTCCAAACATACGTGCTTTGATTAAGGCTTGATGAAGGTTTGCAGAGCTTCAGCATTTGCCATAAAATAGCGAGCGATTTGTTACAAAACCATATAAATTATATATCACTGTAATCACAAAACTTCAATCTATTTCCGTATTGTAACGCAATTTTAAATTATGTCTTTATTTTCGAGAAAATTTGGTTCAAACATAAGGAATATTCTGTTGATGTTTGACCATCAAAATCATAAAAATAAAGAAGTTGCCTAAAAATGTGCTACAATACGGATATAGTATAATTCCTTATCTTTAATTTCTTTCTTCATTTGTGTAAAAATACCTACCCAGTTTTACATAAAACGTTAAATGCCGAATGCTTGTTTTGTTACTTTTTCGGACTAGTGAAATGACATATCATATCGATTTTAGGAATTATTTAAGACTTACATCTTTTTAAAACTGACTTGTTGCAGCTCTATGTAGTTCCGTGAACTGGGGTCGATATTTAGTAGGACCTACATCCATCAGTAAGTACCGGCTCTGTAGAGAGGTCCGTGCGGATTCTTATCCATCAGGACCTACTCATCTCTAGACTATAATAAATCCTCAATTGTCGAACAATTGAATTCATTTCATGCCATTGTCTAATCTAAACTATGAGAAGATCGTCAGAAGAACACATGTGATGGTGTTATTGTTATTATCGAACGGTTGCAGGCAAGCGGTGGCGTTGCTCAATCGAAATTTCATTGCCAAAAGTGAAAGAACTTTCGACAGTGATGACGACCTTGGACGATATAAATCGTGAGCCGAGTTGTTGTGGTACGCTGATCGCAGGTCGTTGTAGTACTTGCTGCTGAAACACCTCGCCGGAGAAAGTTACATAACAGAAGACCTACTTTTCAGAGGCGCGATCCGTTCGATATTATTATACACGTAAACAAGTACGAATACGTACACAGATGCAAACGGCCAAGGAATTGCACATGGCTAGGCTAAATAGCTGGCGCATATTTGATTCTGAATTTTCTATAGCAACTAAAAATCTCTTTCAACTTTTTCAAACGTTTCTGGACTTTTTTTGATTTCTATAATAACAATAACTCTTCTCAATTTTGTAGAGTAGATATCATTTTATCCAAATTGGATAGGTTAGGTTGTAGGAAACCTAATAACCAATTTGGATAAAAGAAGGTGCATTTGAAGATGACTTGGCAATTTTAGCTAACAGCGAAAAAGAACTGAAAAGAAATTTCGAAATCTTTGAAACAAAAGTAATGATTTTAGGTAAAACAGAAGTCAATATGAATATCGAGATAAATGACATCAATTTGGAACAAGTCGATTCATACATATGTTTGAGATGATTTGATCAGCAACACAGGAGAACAAGAGACGGAAATCATCCAAAGAATTGGCAACACGTCCCGCTTGTATCAAGCCATTAAGAACAATTTCTTAAATAAAAAAGGAATCTCGAGAGCAGTGAAGATGAGTGTATACAAGACAGTATTCAAACCGACGTTGATTTTTGGCTGTGAAAGTTGGGTATTAACTAAAAGATTGAAGAGTAAGATCCAAAGAATGGAGATGTTATATCTACGAAGAGTACTTGGGGTAACAAGGAAAGATAGACTAAGGAACAGCTTTATGAGAGACCCAAGCAGCATTTGGACGTCGGGACAACGTTGTGTCACGCGACCAAACGTCGGGGCGCAACGTCGGCACAACCTCGTGCCAACCCTAGTCTGCACTAGTTTGGAGAATAATTTTTGGGTCGAAACGACGTTGGATACCGACGTTGGCTAGAAGCCTAATTTAGTACAATCTGCAACGTTGTTTAAAATCCTAATTCACAGAAATACAAAACTAATATGGCGTCTAAGTCGCGTTTTATCCTAAATTGGGATAATTATAGTAAAAATATTATATTTATAATTTAGTTAGAGACATATGTCAGATGGCAGTGAAGGAAAACAAAACAAAAGTATTTAAGTGTGGAGGATGTTTGAAGATCATAATTATTGAAACACTTTAACCGACTCTGTAACTCGTTACCCAAGGTAAAAAGTTAAACGCAAACAACTTTATTGATAAATGTATTGTTTCTACTTTAAAAAATACTAATGGGCCTTGAAATTAAAGAAGTTTTAAAAATTTTCTTGAATTTTTTTTTTAGTAAAATGAGAATAATTTATTCGCATTCGAAAAAATTGTTTCCGCGTATTTTTTAGGGTCAAATATTTCAAGTTAATGTATTCAAAAAGCAGGAATTGCTATTTTAAGAACGAAACATTTTCTTATTTAACAACATGGCGGCTTTAACTTTGTTGTTTTGGAGATTAAGATGGAGTAGTTCGAGTAGTCGCATACTGGACTAATAAAGTCGCAGTTCGGCCTTAACAGGTAGTATACTAGTCGCAAGATTGCCTAATTTAGTCATTCTAGAGTCTAGCTTGTGCCGCCCTCTATAATCTAAATAAACGAGGAAGTGTCGGTAATATATGTCGATGTATATTTAAATTTAGTTTTATATGTACCTTTCTTATGTCCCATTTTAATTAAGTTTTTTTTTTATAAAAACAAAAACAGCACTGAACTGTCTGACTGAACAGAACAATGAATTGAAAATTTAAGATTTAAGGTTATGGTTCAATACAGTTGCAAAAAGGTAGTGACTCTACGTCCTACCAACGTAAGAATAAGGAAATCTAAACAACGTTGGAATTAGTAAAACAGACGACGTTTGCATAACGTTGGAATAGGTCCTGAAACTGACGTCGGAAAACTCTATATTGTCCAACGTTGTAACTACGTTGCCCAAATCACCTAAATATCACTTAAGCAAAAAAGGTTAGAAGACAACGTTTATTCGACGTCGCAGAAGCTTCTACTTTGCT